ATTACTTACCTTCAAATGCCAAGTATCCCCTCCTCTATATAGTAGGAAAAGGGGACACAAGGACCAAAAAATAAAACTAATATCCAACTTTTTAAAATGTCCAAAGGATAAAGCAATGCTACCCAATAGATAGTACAAAGAAAATATTTTCCTCTTGTACTATGAGATCTTCAAATCTGCAGGAGATGGGCTGTCAAAAAGAAGGATAAGACATCAAAAGATTCTCCGTACTCAAGGTTTGTTAGCAATAGGGGGTTCGGTGGTGAAGGATATCTTGGTGTTGTCGGAAAATGGAAGATAGAAGATGTTGAGGTGGGATTCATCGGTGTTTATGGTCTTCATGATATGAAAAAGTTCAATCTTATGGGAAGCGTTATCTGGGTTCATTTACTCTTTAGATGTGGCCTGGTGCATTTTTGGAGACTTCAATGAAGTAACAAAGGTCGGGGAAAGGAAAAACACTATTTTCAACCAAAAGGCAGCAGATAATTACAATAATTTTAGTAAGGATGCAGGTCTTATCTAGATTCTAATGGGAGGTAGGCGTTTTACTAGAGTCGGTGATAACGGAAAGAATTTTAGCAAGCTGGACAAATTTTTTACTAATGACAAGTTTGAATCCTCATGGCCTGAGCTAGGTGGTGGGTTTAGAGAGGAAGCTCTCTGATCATTGTCTGATTGCACTTGAGCCTTCAAATAGGGACTTTGGAACGAAAACATTCAGGTTTTTAAATGTATGGTTAGAGGACTCCAGCCTCAGAGAGTTGGTAACTAAGTCGTGGTGTTCTGCAACCCCTTCTTCGGATCCTGACAAGGTATTTAGAGACAAACTATAAAGAGTCGAACAAGAAATCAAAGAATGGAGCAGATCTAAATTTGGGAAACTCAAATCTGATATTGAGGCATTCAAGAGCAAAGCTATTGAATTCGAGTTAGTAGCCGAACAATATGACTTGTCGGAAGGGGAGCTTGAAGAATGGAATAGGGCCAGGATGGTTGGATTGGAGAGGAGACATACTCTAATGATGAAACAAAAGTCCCGTGTTAACTAGGCTGTGGAAGGTGATGAAAACAATATTTTCTTCATTCGTTATTCAAGCGAAGAAATTCGAAAAACTCTAGTTGGTGTAATGTGTAACGGGGTTTGGATTGAAGATCCTGAAAAAATAAAAGTAAAAGTGGCCTTCAGTTTTTTCAGAAACAAATTGAAAGAGGACATGGAGGACAATCTTGGACCAAGGTTTGTGAGTTCAAAATTCAAAAGTATGTCTAGTGACTTAGCTGGAGCACTTGAAGCCCCTTTCTCAGAAATTGAAGTGTGGTCTGCGAACAAGGATTGTGGAGGTTCAAAAGCTCCGGATCCGGACGGATTTAGTTTCAAGTTCGTTAAGAAGTTTTAGGATACGATCAAAGCTAATGTGATAAATGTTTTTGATCGGTTTTGGGATAAAGGGTTGTTAAACAGAGGTTGCAATTCATCTTTTTGATGCTGGTCCCCAAGGTTAGTAATCCGATTAATTTCAGCGAGTTTCGTCCCATTAGTTTAATTGGGGCTCTCTACAAGATTATTGCTAAAACTTCGAGGAAGAGGTTGAAAGCAGTAATGCATGAGGTAATTAGCGACACTCAAACGACTTCTATTGAAGGAAGAAGCATCGCTGACAACATCCCTGTGGCCGACGTGGCAGTAAACTTCATGAAAATGGCTGGTCATAAAGCTTTTCTCTTTTAAAGCTGATTTCGGAAAAGCTTTCGATTGTGTAATTGGAAGTTTTTGGAAGTTTTGATGCTCCAAATGGGGTTTGGAAATTGATGTTGCAAATGCATCAATTCATGCCTTTCATCTGCCGCTTTTTCTATTTTGGCCAACGGTTCCCCTACAGGAGAGTTCAACCTTGAATGAGGTGTTAGACAAGGTGATCCTTTATCACCTTTCCTTTTCCTTATCGCTTGATGGAAGGGATGAATATTTTTATAGAAGAAGCAAAGACCAAGGGGCTCTTTGAAGGGGTGAAGGTGGGTCGAGACAAAATCAAAGTTTCTCATCTACAATTTGCGGATGATGCTCTTTTCTTTGGAAAGTAGAAAAACAAAAAGAATTTCCTAGTTAAATTGTCAGGCAAATTTGAAGAGCTTAGAAGCTTTAGTTCTTTGCTTTCAATCGGTGTCAGGCCTAAGAATCAACCTCTCGAAAAGCAAGTTGTATGGGATTGATGTAGGTAAAGACATTATCATAGAAGCGGCGGCAATTACAAATTGCGACTCAGGCTCTCTTTCCTTCACTTATTTAGGCCTTCCAATTGGAGCTTCGATGATTCGAGAAGCATCATGGCAGCCGGTTATTCAAAAGATTAATTCATGGCTAGATGGCTGGAAGACTCACACTAATTAAATCCTCGCTGAACAGTCCACCATTGTATTTTTTTCTCCTTGTACCCTGCTCTGTTATGCGTCTTGCGAACCCTTGAGAGATTAAGAAGGAAATTCTTTTGGGGTGAGGTAACAGCTCGCATTATCCTTCCTGGTTGTGGTGGGATAATGTAATTTGTGATGCTCAATTTGTTGGGGGGGGGGGGTTATGGGTGGGGAGTATTCATGCTTTTAATTTGCCTTTGGTGGGGAAAAGGCTTTGGAGATTCAAATCGTAGGGAAGGACAATGTGGCATAGAGCTATTCCGAGCGTTTATGGTAGAGATGGTGGCTTTAGTGGTAGATAGGAGGGGCATGCTTGGGGATGCTTGGGGAGGTGTCATAAAGGCGGTAAGAGAAATGGAGGATTTAGGATTATTTTTCTCGGACTCCTTTAGCAGAAGTATTGGTGACGGGGCTGGTATCGATTTTTGGTCGGATCGCTGGTTGGAGGGTGGTAGATTAAAAGATAGATTTCCACAATTGTGAGCCTTAGAAGGGGTGGAAGAGGTGAAGCTGCGTGATAGAATTTATTCCAACTGGGGTGGAAGGTTGGCAATGGACTTGGGATAGGTCCCTTAGGAGTAGAGCCAGTCGAGAGTTTGAGGATCTTTTGCGGCTGTTGCAACCAATCTCGCTTAATCCAGGTGGAACTGATAAGTGGGTTTGGGATATGGATGGGGTATTCACCATGAAAAAGTTGAGGGAAATGTTGGATAATAGGCTGCTGGACACACACAATGGGGCGGGTAATACTCAATGGTGTTCTTTAGTGCCAAAGAAAGTCAATGTTTTCGTATGGAGGTTGTGTAGGGGAGGGATCCCGGTGAGGGAAGTGCTGTATGAAAGGGGTTTTGATTTAGACTCTAGACTTTGTTCTAAATGATAAGAGTGATGTAGAAACTCTTAAACACTGCTTTCTGGACTGATCGATTTGTGTGTAGGTGTGGGAATTTTTTTGGTTGGTATGGTGGGAATATCTGGTCAAGAAGATCTATTGAGGAACTGACTTCGGACAATGGTAGCAACGGTGGTGCGTCTTTCATTAGCATTGGCGAGGGAAACAATCATTTGGTCTTTTCTATGCATCCTATGGAGGAAGCAAAAAAAATCATGTTTTCGAAAGGGGTGCTCGGATCGACATTAGGGAGCTGTTTATCGAAATCCAGTCAACCTCCTTTCTTTGGATGTCAAACAGGGTTAAGAGCAGGAAACTTTCTTTGGATGTCAAACAGGGATAAGAGCAGGAAACCTTCTTGGATGGAGTGGATGAGTGGCTCTTATTCGCAAATTTAAAGTCAGTCAAGCTCGAGGATTAGGACTGGGTCTTCCCTTATAGTTTTGTGTCGATTGTTCTTCTTGAGCCTTTGTCTTTTGTAGTGGTTTGTTTGTCCTTTCTTAGCATTCTGCTCCTTGCAGAATTAGTGTCTCTTTGTGTTGCTTTTGTTTTGTTTTGGGTCCTCTTTCCAGTAATAAATTTTTTGCCTTCAATTTTTTTTTTTCCTTTTAAGATATTTTTTTTTATTAAGTGGTCTTTAACACCCCTTTTGTCTCGCCAAGATCTCTTCGTTAGTTGGGGAAGAATCCGCCTGAAACAAAAAAATAAAGGGTATGGATAATTTTGAACCACTAAGGAAAAAAGGATAAAATAAATAAAAAGGATTCACAAATAAAAATGCTAATGCTACAACCAGGCCAACTTGCATCCCATGAAAGCTCAACTTAAGACCTTAAGGATGCTCCACTTAATCAAAGCAGGACTGCAGTGGAAGATGCTGATATTTTCAAAAAGCAGCCACTCATATCGCAAAAATACCACACATACTGTACTACTTCCTGTCACTGAGTTTAAGCATGCTTCTAGTTCTGGGGGCTGAATCATGATGGCTTGCAGTTCCGAAGTTAGACACTTAAGAACCAATGGCAAGATGATAACACCTTGCTTCACATCATGAATCTTTCAGATATAATATTAGAATCATGGAGGGGGGGGGGGGTATTATAACATAATTCATAGGTTGCTGTACCTTCTGGTATGTGTTTCTTCTATTATCTATTATCTATTAACTTTTGCTTATTCTTGTTCTGTCCTTACTGCGGTACCCATTAGATATAAATTTTGGATCATAGGCGACTATTGCATCCCCATGCTTGCCCAGACACAACATGATCTATGTCACCCCAATTCAATTGCCTGCGTTTTCATGTCAAATTCGGGTGCATTGTCAACAATCAAGTATTTACAATCCTTGCATCTCAACACCTAAGTTCCTGGGACTATACTGTCAGATGCAATTGGTTGAGCTTGATGTTTGCATCATACATTTCATTGGTGTTAAGTCCTGTAACTTAGTATGATGTTATCGGGTAAAGTCTTATTGGTTTGAACCTGCTGAGACCACTTAACAAAATTGCATGGTAGCACACTTTTACCTTCTTCAGCAAAGCTAACAAGTACACAGATACACTTCTGAGATGCACTCACAAAAATGTACAAGTATGCTTGAGGAATCATTTTTGTAAGAACTTCTGACATATGTTGATTAAATCTATTATTTGTTAAGGTAATAAATGCGATTTGCTATTTCCAGGCCGAAGATGGAAGTGGTCTACCAGAGGAAATCCTTAACTTACCAAACATTGAAGCTGCTGCAAAGTTCTACTTCATATTCATCCGCTTTGATATCATATGGACCCTTAATTATTTTGCACTTATAGCTTTGAACTTCTTTGAGGTTAGTGCCACAAGGCTTTCTTTGATGCCTTGTTTCTTTGCTTGAATTAACACTTTCTGATTATCTTAAGTTACTATTATAGTTTCTTCTAGCATGATTATTACTTATCCTTGTTACTTCAAAATGTGCAACAGAAACCATTATGGTGTAGCAATGTTTTAGAGATTTCTTGCAGTAACAGGGACTACTATTTTCTTGGGGAGCTTCCATACTTGACTAATGCAGAATCTCTGGCATTTGAGGTTTGAGTCTTGTGTTATCCTTTTTCTATGACATAAATTAGTCATGCGAACTGAATTAGTGGATAACTTAAGACCTTATTTGTAGTTGTTCCGTCTAGAAACCAAAGGGTCTGGACAAATAAACATGGATTGTGCACATTTTGGTTGTGTATACTATAGTTGAGTCAATATTTTGGTGTTTGCTTTGTAGACCAGGCCGAATAAACATGGATTGTGTACATTTAATTGAGGACCTATGGATGGGGATATTTATGATCTGTGAACTACTTTCTAGTGCCTTCGGTATTATTAATTTACAGTATGATGCATGCCCAAGAAACATGCAAATCAGAAGTACCAACTTAATCCTAGTGTAAAGCAAGTAGGATGGTCTTCTAGGAGCTGTGTTTGTTTTGTTCAATTTGTGTTGCAAGTATAAGCGAGTGATCACAATAAACAATGAAAAGTACAGGGAACTCAAGTTCAGTTTGGTTATGTAAAACAAGAATTACTCTCTTGGTGGTAAAAACCCTTCTAGATTACAATCTTTTTATCTCTTGAATTGTACTATGGCATTCTCATGTACAAACCCGAACACAATCACAAGAAAGATAAAAATCAATTACCACTGTTGCTCTAATGCTCACGAACATGATGTGTTCTGTCTGCACACTCCTATGCTTGGACTTGACCAACCCATCTTATCCATACAGTAGGGTCTTATATTTTTCAATTCTAAGTTGACCTTGGTACCTTTTACTGTGCAGAGTAATATTAATATCAATAATGAAATGAAGATCAGTTTCAAAAGATTTTAGTTGGGTCACAAGACCCTGACTGAAAGTTCTTATGTATTCCTAGTATTTGCCTGGGTGTACAATTGCAAAATGACCCCATACTTTTATAATTGTCTTGTACATATAAAAACCCGAATTTTGTCATGCTACCATCACACCTTAAAATGATAAAATAGTTCATGCATGTAATCTAATTATTGACCTATTTTCTTATGCAGGGTGTGACCCTCTTAATTCTTATGGTGCATACCTTTTTTCCTATTTCATATGAAGGGATTAATCTCTACTGGAGAAATCATGTTAATAAGCTGAAGGTACGTGGTTGCAGAATATAGCACATAACATTTCTATATGAAGTTCTTTATCCGATTTATTTTCAATTGAATGTGTTTTAGTAAACATGATTATCTTTGTGAAAAGCAGTTTGATCCATTATTATGTTTGCTTATTTTCACATTCACAATTTTATTATCCTTTCATTTCTTTTCTTTGTCTAACAATATTGTCCGGTACCAAGGGGTTATCATCTGGTATCAAAGCCAGGCCCAACACTAGAACAGATGCACGGGTGGAATTGGTGGTTGAAGGAAATTGAAAACATTTTAGGAGGACATAAAGCACTTACCAACTATCAAGCAGGGGTCTGCGGCCTTCATTGACCAACTCAGCAGAAGCGATATACACAAGATGATCCTGCCAAGGCACTAACCAATGCAGCAGTGTTGCAAGGCAGTAGGGGTCAGGGAAGACCAGAATGGGAGCTGATGGACTTTAGGGCTTTTAAACTTGAGTTGTCTGTCTTTGGGGTGGCGATCTGGATTACGGATCTACCAGGATGAGCAATGGTTTGCTTAGAACCGGTTTGACAACGCTTAGAGGTTGCAAATGACCATTATGTGTTTGGAGGGGGATGTTCTTAATTGGTCGTGGTGGGAAAATCAGCGGCAAGAGATTTGTTGTTGAGAAAGTTTTAGACCAATCAAGAAGGCTCCATGTGTGATCAATTTCCAGGACCAAACAGACCACCACCGTGAATGAAATACTGGAAGCATGCTAAGATGTTAGCCTCCACCTTGGGGAGCCAGTTTTGGTGTCTATGTTAGAACCCATGGGGCTATAAAAGGCAAGGACCTCGCTCAAAAGGTTGAAGACACTCATTGTTGCCGGTGTACAAAAAACCATGTTGGGTCCAATCAACACTAATGATCTGAGCGTTACCTACGGGTGATCCCTTGGCCGACAAATGTAGCACTACTGTGGGAGAGCGCCATGCTGGATATAGGCAATTAACATATGTTGAGTTTTAGGCCAAGCGTGCAAAAGGATTGTGTTATCGTTGTGATAGCAAGTATTCTACCGGACATATATATAAGAAACCCAAGCTGCAAGTCTTGCTAATGCAAGAAGAAGTGAAGCATGAAATTGAAAAGGACGAATCAAATGAGACTCGGTAAGGGAAACTAGAAGCACAAATAATGGAAGTGTCATTAAACTTAGTCGTTGGAGTCACTCCACCCAAGACTATGAAGATGACCGGAAGCATTGATGGCTTGGCAGTTGCCTTTCTTGTAGACGGCAGCACATCACACAATTTCATTACTACAGAGGTGGTCCAAAAATTGAATCCAACTATTATTCCGATGAAGGCTTACATGGATGATTTTCTTCCCTCGAGCTTGGCAACACTGATGTAATTTTGGGAGTACAATGGCCTCAAACTCTAAGCAACACATTTCACAATTGGAATACGCGAACCATGCGATTCGTGATAGGAGGGGAAGTTGTTCTGAAAGGAGAACCAACGTTAGAAAAATCTTGAGTTTCTCTAAGGTCATGATGCAAACTGATACGAATCAATTTGGCAAAATCAAGACTAGCGGCCAAACGTACCGCTAATCGGATGCTTACGGATAAATCCTGGAATTCGAGACCCAGGGAATCTTCAATGTCAAATGACAATAATAAAATATATGAATGAATGCCAATAATGGGGTGGCCGGCCTGCTAAATAAAGACGTACCCTAATCTTAAAAAATAGGAAAACATATTTATCCTAATAAACTAATTAATATTTATCCTAATCAACTAATTAAGAATAAGTAAATTGCAAACAACCCCCTCTACTTGTTTCTTGCCTCTCTTTTGTGACGCTAATATATCCGACTCCAATGTGGGTCGGGCTGAGCCGTATCACAAACCTTGAAGCAGGAGGGGTTCGGGATAATGGTGGAAGTATGGGAGTTTGTTAGTGTTACTACTGAATGCAACCAATTGAGGTGCTAACCAAGTTTGAGGAGGTTTTTCACATGCCTTCAACTTTAACCCTCGTAGAAAAGCCATGAACATGTCATAGTTTGAAGCGACTGCACACCTCCAGTGAGACCTTACTGATACCCCCAAATACGAAATGACGAGATAGAAAAAATTGGTGAGAGAAATGTTGGTAAAGGGAATCATACATCCAACCACTATTTTCGACCCCAGGGATTGGTTAAGAATAAGATGGGAGTTAGCACTTTTGCGTCGACTACCGAGCTTTGCATAAAGAAATCGTATCATATAAGCTTCCAAATCCTGTAATGGTTGAATTGCTTGATGAGTTAAACGGGATCGTTTGTCCAACCTAGACCTGACATTAGGTTTCGAGTAAGAGGGGAGGATGTACATAGGAGCACTTTTCAGACTCATGATGGCCACTACGAAATCCATGCTTTTCGGCCTTGTCAATGCGCCAACCACGTTCCACTTTTTGATGAACGAGGCTTTCAAGGCGATCCTCTGTTGCTTCATGCCGGTGATTTTTGATTATATCCTTGTGTAGAATGCAACAATGGAAGGAGCACGTAGCGACGACGGTATTGAAGGTATTAAAGGTATTGCAGGCGTTAGATAGCCATGAGTTACAAGCTAATCAGAAGAAGTGCATTTTTGCCAGGCATTAAATCAAGTATTTGGGTCACATGATTTCAAGGGATAAGGTGGCGGTAGACCTTTCCGCGATAAAAGCCGTGATCAATTGGCCACTTCCCAACCAATAAATGTACTTGCCACATTCTATTCAGATCTTCATGTCACAATGATTTTGTTCCTCACATATTTGAATGTGTAGCCTTTGTTGATATTCATATTTCATAGTTGTGAGCTAAAAGTTGATAATTAGGGTTTATCTTTCTTCTTAACTTCGACGTAGTTTCCTAATATAGTTTCCTTGTAGTAATATATGTTTATGTACATTTCTTATCAATGATGTATAGAAAATTCAAAAACCTTTTGTACAACAGTCAAAACCGGGGAAAATTAGATCCAAATTCAAGTGCGTATGTATATGTGGAGTATTCTTCAACTCAAAAGGGGTATAAGTGCTATCATCCCCGACAAAATGTTTGTATTTCTCACTTGATGTGACCTTTTCATGAACATAAGAGAATGAAGGAAATTTCATGTAGTTGCTTACTTGGTCCAGCCACAACATGTTATTTATGCACTTTCGGAAACATCAATCAACAGCATGGGATTTTGTGTATACTTGTATTACATGCTTTATTTCTGGTAAAGATGTAGTCTACGTTATTTAATTCCTTCTTTCTTATAAACCAACCTAATGCTTATGTCTTGTGTTATCTTGTCAGATCATTGCACTAATAATTCTGGTTGCTGATTTAGTAGTTGATATTCTCTATCTCTCTCCACTGGCCATCTATTCTCTTCCATTGAGAATTGCACCTTATCTTAGGGTACTTTTCTTCATCTTGAATATCAGGTATGGCGTGACTCCATACAAAAATCTCCAATATGACAAAATGCTGATGTATTTTCAATAGTTAGTCCTTCACATCAGCCATACAACTTGTACTAATTTTAAAAGGCATTTAAATTGCATCCGTAAATGGTAAACCCAATTAATTAGTAAAGATGAATAGAATAGCAAAAACCAAGCTAGAAGTATTACAAACACATCTAGGAATTCATCCTCTACTTGTAACAATATTAAATTAGTATTGAGGGTGGTTTATGTAAAAAAGATCCAACAGTTATGACCATGCATGCTCTGTATATGATTACAGGTTCTCATAAGTCATAATAGAACTTGCTTATTTGTTCCTCAAACATGTGGGATCCTACACTACTTTTTTCATAATTATTCTGGAATAAAATATTTTGCCAGTTAGATATAAAGATGAATCCATTAAGAGAAGGAATGATAACAGTTCTTACTGTTTACTTTATATAGTTAGGAAAATGAATTCAGGTAAATGTGACTTATCAGAGAGAAAATGTAGACCATGAAGTGTGCCAATGAAGGAAAACTGTTGGAATAGATGCTAATTGTATCTCAAGTGAGTGACACTAGAATCAAATTATGAGATGCTGATAAGAAAATTAAAAGGATGATTCCTGTAACCCACCAGAGCAGAATAATAAATCTAGTCTTATGTATCCAGAAGACTAGAACTAGGTAGCCGGGACAACATTTGATTTTGTTGTGTTGTACATAAACTCAAGGAACTTTCCCATCATGAGAGTAGTCCTATATTTAAGTGAAGTGAATCACTAATATGGAATGTGATAATCAGTTGGTAGAACTGTTTGGATCCTATAATGGTGCTCATGCGCATCCGCTTCTATTTGGGTGACCAAACATGTTGATGAGACTAATTTTTTTTTGTTATCATGACTTAGGGACTTACGAGACAGCCTCGTCGTCTTGGGTGGAATGGTTGGCACATATCTCAATGTGTTGGTCTGTATTCCAGTATCTTATCATGAATTTATTTTTGCTTCTCTACTTACCTTGATGCTGACACGGGCACTGTTTACTTGGATCTTCGTTTATAAGTGCTGATAAATGTTTCTTGAATGCAGGCTTTGTGGCTTCTGTTTCTTCTGTTTTCCAGTTGGTTAGCTTATGTCATCTTTGAAGATACCCAACAAGGAACTACAATCTTTTTCTCTTACCCTGCTACGTTGTATCAAATGTTTGTTTTATTCACCACCTCCAACAATCCAGACGTTTGGATTCCTGCCTACAAGTGAGTTACTCAAATATGGACTATATGATTCTTCTTTTTGGGAAAAGTGCCAAATGTCCCCAGGTCTACCTAACTATACCAATATTAATATACTCTAATTTTTAAGTTCACATAAACTAATATCTAAGCATTATTATGGAGAAACATGCACTTTGAAACAATTAGAGTTGTAATGTTGCTTTTTATTACAAGGGAAGCCCCTGATTTACGTTCAATACACCATGAAAAGGAAATGATATAAAATCTAATCAAATAAAATTATCAAAAAATCACATGCCTTGTCACTCCAAGTATATGTAAAGACCAAGGGAGCATAGAGGTGAATCATGCCCAACTTGCTGTAGATGCAGTCAAATTGGGGTCTTCTATACATGTTAGATCTAATTTATAACATCGTGGATGACCAAAGGATTACACTCTATGATCAGATCTAGGACCGTGGTGACCCTTTCTACCAGAAAGGCTTATCCATTAACGGTTGAAGCTTTTGTTGGATATGTCTTTCTAGTATGTACTCCATATTGATTGACTTTTATGTTCCCCATGAAGCTTTTAGCTTCATTTATTACCATCCGTAGTATATATGTTTATGTAACAAGTCTTTTTCCATCTTAAAATAAAATACTTATGGTGATGGTGCCCCATGATATACGTTTTCATCTGAATTCTGTTACCCTCTTCCAGATCATCAAGATGGTCTTCTCTTTTTTTCGTACTTTATGTGCTTCTGGGTGTTTACTTTGTGACAAACCTGGTTCTTGCTGTTGTATATGACAGCTTCAAATCTCAGGTACATACTTCTTTGTCTCTATTAATTACTACCAGACGCCATCTATTAGTTTCAATTTTATGTTGAGGTTTGCAACCTAGAAATACAGTTCACGATTTGTTGCATGCATGAATTGTTTATAGTATCACCTTTTTACCTAACTATAACTGAAAAGCTTGCATCCGTTGTTTGCAGCTAGTTAAACAAATTGAGGAGAAGGACCGAATGAGGACAAGAATATTGGGGAGAGCCTTTAATCTCATTGATGACAATGTGAGTGAGTATTGACTAATTTCCTCCAAAGCAATCCAATCTAAATCTAAATTTATATCTACATTTCTTCTTTTTCAAATCAAACAGGCTGTTGGCACTCTTGATAAGGAACAATGTATCCAATTATTTGAAGAACTTAATAAATACAGGTAATAATAGTCTTTTGAGGAATCTTGTGATATTTGTTATCAAGTGTAGCTGTAGAAGTAGAACGTGTGGTTTATATTCTCTTTATAGGCTTACTTTCAATATTTATAGATAGGTCAGAAAACCTATATACTATTACACAAGTTCAGGTTCAGTGAAAACATTCAACGCATACAAGTAATTTGTCCGGGATTCACATGTGTGCATAACACAGGAAACATCTTAAAAGCTTTGAGAGAATATTAATAGGTGAAAGCTTAATTGTATATTTCACTCTTATGAAAAATAGAATACAAGGAACCCTATTAATAACTAAGCTACCCCCTAAAAATGGAAACTAAGAAACAAACTACAACTAGGAGACCCTTTATAAAATAATTACATAATAAGGAAACTCCTAATCTAGACCTGATCGATTCCAATACCTCTTATTCTAGACCTAATCGATATCCTAATATCATTACACTCCCCCTCAAGCTGGATGGTACAAATTGTACGATCCAAGCTTGTGAACAACCTTTTCGAAGTCTGTTTTGAATAAGGCTTTTGTGAAAATGTCCGCTGTTTGTTGAGAAGTAGAAATGTATTCTACTGTAAATGACCTTTGCACCAATCTTCTTTTTGATATAATGTCTATCCATCCTTACATGCTTAGTACGGTCATGATGAACAGGATTTAGACACATTCCTATGGCGGACTTCTTGTCACAGAAAATACTGATAGGTCTTTTGAATTGGATACCTAGTTCTTCAAGAAGTAGCTCCAACCATAATGCCTCATCTGCTCCTTGAGATAACATTCTAAGGGCCTGTTTACTTGTGGCTTAATGAGCTTACCGGATAAATGGGCTTATTCGCACAGTCATTTTAGCCTGTTTACTTCGGGCTTATTCGGCCAGACATGGGCTTATTCGCCCAGATGAAAACCATAGGTTGTCCACGTTAAGCCAAGAAAAAGACATTCCCTACCCTTCATCCCATCCCACGCCTCTCTCCCTACAATCGACGCTCTCTCCCTACCATCAACGCTCTCCTGTCTAGAACCCTAAGCGGCCGATTTCAAATCGCAAAGGTAAGTACTTCTCTTCAAATACGTCGATTATTTTCTTTTAGAAATAAACCCTAGCTGCTTGATTGGAGCTCGATTATTGCTCTCTTGCTGCTAAATTGTTTCTCTATCGCTGCTCGATTGCTGCTACTATGTGATGTCATGTTCATCTATTCTATGATTTTCGATTGCTGCTGCTACTGGTTCATCTGTTCTATGATTTTCGATTGTTGCTTGTTACACACTGGAGGGTCAACTAGACAAAATAGAAGTGCATTAGTTAAATTAGGTGGGTTGCGTTAAATGAGTACAAGTGGTTAGTGCAGTAGTAGAAGTAGGTCAAGAGAGAAGAGGGGGGATCAACGAGCTCTGTATTAGTTTTCTCAAAAGCCCATAGTTAATCCTCAGGGGTAAATTGGTCATTTCTGTTATTCAGACTGTTGATTCAGATAGAAAAGTAAACAGCAACCCAAATTTATCCAGACAGCCAAATTTATCCAGACAGACAAATTTATCCATACAGGACTTAATAGAAAATTTGGTAAACAGCCCCTAAGTTGCTACTCTTAGCCAGTAAAGGCTGTTTTTTACTCCTCCAAGTGACTAAATTTCCCATTACAAAGCTACAATAGCCCGAGGTGGATCTACTATCTTCGGGTGAACTGTTCCAAGAAGCATCCGTGAAAACATCAACTGTATTGTTCCCTTCATTTTTCCTGAATCCTTTACATGGGGTTCCCTTTAGATACCGTAGGATCCTATACACTGCCCCCATATGTTTTGTGTAAGTGAGTGCATAAATGGCTTACACGGCTGACCAAGAAAGCAAGATCTGGTCGGGTGTAAGATAAGTAGATTAAAATTTATCACTAACCTTTGATATCTTCCTTTGTCAACTAGTTGATCATCACTGAAATTCGCAGTTGTTTTTAGCATTCATAGGAATCTCAGCCGGTTTGGTTCCCAACATCCCAGTTTCTTTTAGTAGATCCAATATATATTTTCATTGAGTTGCAGATATACCTGTGGAGTTTCTTGCAATCTCCATACCCAATAAGTAACGCAACTGACCAAGATCCTTCATTTCAAATTCTTTGGCCAGACTTTGCTTTATAAGATCAATCTCATCCTTGTTGTTCCCTGTTATTATAATGTCATCAACATAGACAATGAGTATGGTTACCATATCACCTTGTCAATGATGAAATAAAGTATGATCAGCCTCCGTTTGAGTATAGCCTTGTTGCACAATAGGTTTGGTGAAGCGATCGAACCATGCTCTCGGGGATTGCTTTAGGCCGTATAGGGACTTTTTGAGTCAACACACCTTTCCTTCTTTACTCTGGTCGTCGAATACGGGTGGTAAGCTCATGTATACTTCTTCTTTAAGATCCCTTTTCAGAAAGGTGTTTTTCACGTCCAACTGCAGTAGAGGCCAATCTTTATTAGCAGCAAGTGATAATAGTACCCATATTGTATCGATCTTTGCAACTGGAGTGAATGTTCCCTGATAGTCGATTCCAAAGGATCGAGTGTAGGCTTTTGCTACCAAATGGGCCTTATGTCATTCGATCGGGCCATCGACATTGTACTTGGTTGTGAATACCCACCTACATCCGACCACCTATTAACCTTTTGGTTGATCAATGTTGTCCCAAGTTCCGTTTGCCTCAAGTGCTCTCATCTCTTCATGGACAGCTTGAGACCACTCGGTTTTGCTAAGTGCTTCGTTGATATTCTTTGGTTCTTCAAAATCTGAATTACTGAGAGAACACTGCCTTTCTTTGGACAAGTGAGAGTATCCAACAAAATTAGGAACGACATGTTTAGTGCATGATCCATAACCTTTTCTTAAAGCAATTGGAACATTAAGACTATCATTCTCAAGGTTATAACTCGTACCTAATTTTGGGTCAAATAGAATGGCAGGATCCTAGAGATCTCTATTTTCTGCTTCAACAACCTTTTTTCTTCTAGAATAGACCTGCTCAAACTGTTCGAAAGTAGTCTATGGTTTGGTGGTATTCTGATCAGAAGGCTGTGATGACTCTAGGTTTTCTGGATTTTCGGGATTTTCTGGGTTAGGTATTTGAATGTTTGGTGATGGTGGGTGATGGGCAGGGATGTTCGGATGATAGGTTCCCAACCTTGCTTATTTTCCACAACAATCGGGTTAACATTGTCCAGACTCTCCCCCTAAACCGATTTTGTGGTGAAGTAGGGTTGGTCTTCTACAAAGGAAACATATTTTGAGATAAAATAGCGATGATTGATTGGTGAATAGGATCAATAGCCATTTTGGGTTGAAGAGTATCCCGACAAACACACACTTATGGGATTTTTGGTGAAGTTTACTTTGGTTTGCTAAGTATTATGGATAAATGCCGTGCAACCAAAAACCCTAAATTGAGTTTAGTAAAGAATCGGCTTGGAAACACTTTTGAAGCACGGTTAGGGGTGTTTTATAACTGAGAACTCTGGATGGCAGTCTATTGATAAGAAAGCATGAGGTTAGGATTGCATCCCCCCAATATTGGTGTGTAGTGTTTGACTGAAACATTAGAGCCCTAGAAACCTTTATAAGATGTCTGTTTTTGCATTTAGATACACCATTTTGCCGAGGGGTATTCACACGAACTTTGATGAATAATGCCACGAGCTTGGTGAACGTATTTAAAGGAGAGTTAAAATATTTTGTCATTATCTGATCATAGTACCTGAATAGGTGCTCCAAAGTGGGTTTTAATCATTTGATAAAAGGTTTCAAACACAATACAAGTTCCAGATGTATCTTTTAAAAGGTAAACCCAACTCATACGGGAACGATCATATATGAAAGTAACAAACTACCTTTTATTAGTTAAAGACGTTACTCGAGAAGGACCCCAAATATCACTATGAACGAGAGCAAAAGGTTTTGACACAAAATACGGTAAAAGGGTATATGAAGTTATGGTGTGTTTTGCTAATTGAAACTCTCACAGTGAAAATTATCCAAGGGTTCAAATAAACTAGGAAATAAATGCCTAAGGTATGGAAAACTAGGGTGACCAAGGTGGCAATGAAGTAGAACTTTTTGTTGTCTGGACTTGCTATCTACTTGGCAGCATATATTTGGATGAAGCTGCCAGTAGTAATAGACACCCGAGTATTCCTTAGCATGTCCAATCATTCGGCCTGAAGTGTAAAATATGGCTTTGCATTGGTTTGCAGTTGTCAGTTTGTTAACAGATACTAGGTTGCATGCAAACTGTGGTTCGTGAAGAACGTTATCTACTCAGAATTCTGGGCTGAGGATAATGAACCCGATTACCAGTATTGGGGAAAGGGTACCATCGGGGATTCGGACCATCCGTGGAGTGCAAAAAGTGGTATGAGAACAAAAACAACTTATCCCGTCATGTGGTCGGAGCTCCTGAGTCGATAATCCAGGGTCTTGAGTTTGTAAGGGTTCTGACCAGAGAAGGAAACCATGGCAATACCTGTATGCGCTGTGGGGTTGCCTGATAACAACTTCTCGAGCTATTCAAGTTGAGCTGGTGAGACTGACTGTGGTTGACCTGTGGTGGGAGCTGCAGCGGAGGCTTTTCCATCAGTCAGGTTTCTTTGTCTTTGAGGTACCCAATCTGCTTGCTTTCCATGGAGCTTCTAGCATGTCTTTGGCGTGGTATGGGCTTTGGCAGTGATCACACCATTGAGAATTGCAGCGGGTTTTTTTTTATCCACATCCTTGGACGCCATTGCTGAAGATAACGGTGTGGTTTCTTGTTTGGTGGACATGGCCAGTCGTCGAGTTTCTCGTCGAGTTTCTTCCCTTCAAATTTCACCAAAGATATCGTCGATGTTGGGAAGGGGTTTTTCCAAAAGGAGTCATTCACTTACCTCATATAGGAAGGATGTAAGCCGGCGAGAAAGTCGTAGATTCTCTCCCGTGCAATTAGTTGACGGTAGGTATCAACATCCGTAGTGTCAACCCAAGTTGGTTTGATGAATAGATCGAGTTCTTGCCAAACTCTTTTTAGAGATGTAAAATATGTTGTAATCGATCCCTCGACGGGCTCGAGTCCTGAGAAGAACATCTGGGATGAGTCTTCCAAGTCGGAGTAAGCCTGTTCTACTGCATCCCATATAGATTTGGCCTTAGGGTACAGAAGGTAAATTTCTGCAATTGAATCCTCCATTGAGTTGATTAGCCATGTCATGACCATTGACTTCTGAACATCCCAAGCGGAATAGGTAGGATCGGTTTCCTTTGGTTGAGGGACAGAACCATTCAGAAAGCCGATTTTTCCTTTTCCACGAATCACCGTTAGGATGGATGGGGACCATGGCAGAAAAATTGCGGCCGTTTAGTTTGAACGACGTGATTTGCAGTGGGGCAGAAAAAGATAAATTTTGTGTTGTAGGGTGGTTCGGCTGTTATTGGTTTCTGATATATCTGATTGTGCTTCAGAAACAAAGGCACTGCTGAGATCCATATTGAGAGTACTGTTCATGACGGAGTACTGTTCACGACGGAGGTTTTTAAGAAAAAAATGGGAAAAGAAGGATTGAGAAAAAAAAATCAATGCCTGTTAGAGCTCTGATACCATAAAAGCTTCGAGAGAATATTAGTAGGTGATAGCTTAATCGTATATTTCATTCTTATGAAAAACTGAATACAAGGAACCTTATTAATAACCAAGCTACCACCTTAAAGAAGGAATCGAAGAAACAGACTACAACTACGGGACCCTTTAAAAATAATTACATAATAAGGGAACTCCTAATCCAGATCTGATCGATCCCAATGCCCCACATTCTAGACCTAATCGATATCCTAATATCGTTTACACATCTTCAATTACTTATATGTGTATGTGTATGCTGTACTAGTATTCTTAGGGTGTTCATGAGTTTCTCATGTTTTTGGGTGGGTGTTCTGGTCTGGTATTTAACAAGTCATTATAGGTAATCATCATAAGATAACAAATACGATGACTTACCATCGTAAAACAACAAAAAGTGATCACTTTCATTGTAGGAGCACATCGTAAAAGGTCATTGTCATGGTCGTGAATATTGTAATTGCTTCGTTTTTTGATGAACGGGTTCTTTGTTTTGAGATGGATTTGGAGCGAATGATATTGCTGGATGGAACGGTTCTTCAAATCCGTTTAGATATGTAAATGGGAAGCAGACCCAATCTGGCCCACGGGTGTCCGATGTGACAGACTGACAGTTCAGGGAAGCATCAGGCCGGTGGGCTCAAACTACCAACTCGGTTGTACGTTTTCATTCACGATTCTCTTCTGACCGCCTTGATCGAGGACTGAGGGAGTATTCAGAATAGGCAACGGATCGAGATCAATCGCTTTGAGTGATCCAGCTACACCCCGTCCAAAGTTCCGTGTAATTGGAAAGACAAGACGAGGGAAGGTGAGGAGAAATCACATTCAATTGTCGATGGAAAAACCTTGGTACCTCTGGAAGCAATGGGGAGAACCATGAGACAAGAAGGAAATGGAGTGTTGGTGGAGTTTAGGTTCATTACTGATTTGGAGCAGGAAGGAGACTGAGAAACAGCGGAATTAAAAAGAAGTGCTGAAGGAGAGTGAAGTGGCGTTCATTTTGCCAAAGGGACAGCCTGCGGACAGGGGTAAAGAACATGCTTTTGTTTTGGAAGACGTAGTGACTTGAAAACAATACCACTAGTCGATTGCATAAATGATTCTCAGCCAACAAAGTTTGTATCTAGATAGACTTCCATCTCCCTCTCCAGTATGTTCGTAAAAATGGACCTTGCCAGGAGTCATCTTCAAGTAACTTAGCACTCTACATCTAGCTTAAGTTCTTGGGTTGGGTTGTCCATGAATTGGTTCACTGTACGCAATGCAGAACTAGAAGCAGGCTTTATGTGATAGAAATATATTAGTTTTCCCAGCAACCTCTTAAGTCTCAACTGTTGACTAGACTATCGTCTTATTTTCTTCCTATTTTTGAATTTGGTATGTAGGAGTTGAATTTGGTTTATAGCCTGTCCTTCAACAAGTCTAACACATGCTTCTTTTGAAGCACCATGATTCCCTTCGTGATCAAGCTTCTCTCCTTCCTAGAAGGCAGTTGAGGTTCAAGTCTCTGATTTCTTACAAACTACATATTATGAAACTAAAAATATTTCTACTTGATTTCATTTTGTACAAGACCTTCAAACACTTGGGCATTTAGTTTGCCTATATTTTAGGAAACAATCATCCCATTGTTTCAAGTGAATTGATCCCACTGATCCATGGGATATACAGCTTGAGTCAAGGGGTTTACATAATCTCAACACTCCCCCTCAAGGTGGAACGTATACATCATATTCATCCATCTTGTCACATATGTATGTTACGACAGCGTAGGGATTTAGCAAAGATTTCAACAAGTTGATCTGTTTTTATAGTTGACAAAGGAGGTTTAAATATGGGTAAAGATGTTTATATATGGATCTTATTTTTCATTTGGTTGGTAATATTCTTCTTTTATACATTATTAATATTGTGATTGTGCCACCCATGTTGTAGTTTTTCTATTTTGGGCACTAAAAAGCACCTTTTATTCAGGACGCTGCCAAAAATATCAAAAGATGATTTTGAGTTGATATTTGATGCACTGGATGACAGTCGCGATTTTAAGGTATATTTTTGTTTATAGCCTCTTGTTGGAAAGGGTTGTTGACGTCATCCTTTTCCAATGTTGTGCATATGTTCTCATCCCTTAATTCTTTCTCGCTATCGTATGAACCCAACATGCATGTGAATAGTATGTTTTGCTTATACGTCAGTTCAATACACTCGCTATCGTATGAACCCAACATGCATGTGAATAGTATGTTTTGCTTATATGTCAGTTCAATACAAGATTGGTCGTTTATCCCTAAACTTCTTATAATAAAGTAAATTATGTTTTTTCGTCCTTGTGGTTTCATGAAAGTTTTAGTTTTCATCTGTGGTCTTCATTAATTACGGTTCTTGTCACTGCAGTTTGCAATTCGTTTAGGTTTTCGTCCCTGGCCCAAAGGCAGTTAAAGGAAGTCCGTTAAATGAGGGGCATATTTTGTTTTCTTCCATTTATAGTCATTTTCCTTTTTAAAAATAAAAAATAAACTATATGAAACAAGTGTTCACGTTTGTATTTTGTATTTAATTTTCTGTCATTTTCTGTTAAGTGAGGGGCATTATGTATTTTATTTCCTGTCATTTTCTTTTAAGTGAGGGGAAATAAGGTTCTATTCCCTTCGTCTCAAAATAAGTGTTCTGTGTCTTAGTTTGTCCCAAAATACGTGTCCACTTCATTAAATAAGTGCCTATTTTCCAATTCTACCCTTATTATTAGATAGAGATATGAATTACTCTTTTTTCTATTATTAAGGGTAAAACTGTTGTTTTGTTGATCAAAAGTGTAATAATTACACTTCTCTAAAACATTGTGCCTTTCTCATCGTGGACATCTATTTTCTGACAGGGAAGTATTACTTTTGCTAACTTGAATTGTGTTTGGACCTCAAGCATTTATCCGACTCTCATCATTTATATGTGCCTCTTTGTCACAATGTTGCATCTCTTACCATGAAAGTTCTTTCTTGCCTGGTGTGTTGTATTTTATTTGTATTTCTTGCTTAGTGTGCATTGCATTTAAAGTTGCCTTTGCAGACCACATAGAGTTGCTATAGCTTGCAACACATCTATTTTTTCTAAAATATATATTTTTTAATTGATACTGATGGTCTATTGTCTTAGTTTATTCTGATCTTTTACATGTAGATTAACGCAGAAGAATTTAATGATCTTTGCAATGCAATTGCCTTAAAATTTCAAAAGGAGGATACAGTAAGTTGGTATTCATGAGAGGCGTCTTTTTCAATTTCACATGGAATAACAAAATGATGTATCTAACTCAGCTTTCTTTCACTTTGTGCCTTCAATTTGCAGGAACCTTGGCTAAAAAAATTCCCCTTCTACAATTCTTCCTTATCTGAAACTCTCAAAGGCTTTGTACAAAGCCCCAAGTTTGGAAATGGGGTTGCTGTTATTCTCCTCTTGAATCTGGTTGCTGTTATTATTGAAACAACGGTATGGCCTAAATCCTTGGAGAACAGATGCTTACCTAAATTTACTTTGATCAACATACTTGGGTCTTCATTTTTGAATTTATCAAATATAGTTAACAACACTAGTGCTTGCTAACTTTACTTTTAAATTTATCAAATATAGGTAACAACACTAGTGCTTGCTAACTTTACTTTTAATTTTATCAAATATATTAACAACATTAGTGCTTGCTAACATGGCAATATGAGCCTGCTGCTATTATCGATGCAACTTTTGAATCAATTACTTAACTGATCTTGTAACTTTGAACTCTCTGCCAGCTTGATATACAAAACAACTCTGGTCAGAAATTCTGGCAGAAGCTGGAGTTTGTTTTTGGTAAAGTACTCCTTTTGACTCTTCATTAGCACACCATTTAACTATTACTTTTATGGTTTGTGACTTTGTGTAACATATCATCATCTCATCCAGAGTTAATCTGCATGGCGTGGCACTTTCTAGTATTGGAGCATGAAACATTTTGTCTTCTTATACAATCTAAATAGAAAAGGAATCTTACTGCCATCTGATATAATCCTGATGGGCAATGCCTTTCCATGACAAATACGAGCTTAATAAATTTATATGGATTTTGAGGTTGTGTTCGACAAGTAAACAGCATTTTGCTAATGATTCTCTTATTAAGAATATGCTGCTGATTTGTATTAGCTTAGGCTCCTTAGGTGTTTGATTACTTACTAAGAGTACTCAAGTTGATTAGATTTTTTCATGTTGCCCAAGGAACATTAAATTTTTAACTCGTCACGGCATTCCCAAAAGCTGTTTATCTATTGAAATAAATGAAAAAATGAGACTTATATTCTCCCATTTAAAAATTTACAAGCATTCAGGAATACTTGGCTTAGTATCTACCTCTGTTGTATAACTAAAATGCCTATGTTATCCATGCAGCTAGAACTGTAATCACATGTTTCACATTGCCTTTACATTTTTCCTTTCTGTAGCTTTATGGTATACGATAAGCAAGTTATGTTCTAACTCGTTGAAACCTTAATTTTGATCGATCATATTACCCTCCCATTGATGTGAAGAACCCATGGGGTTATAGGTATCGTGTGTGTGAAGCTTTAAGAAACTTGGTTATTTTTATCCTTATTACCGTTCTTTAAATTCTGCCTCACACCAGGTGTGGCATATTTAGTTTGGGACGGAAAATAACAATTGGGTGTGAAACAAAATTAGTTTGTGAGGGAAACAAGGAAATGATGATTCCTATTATCAGATTCTGACTAAATGTTCCATTACATTAATAGTCTTTTCTACCTGACCTGCAATTCACATCATCAACATTGGTAGAACAATGAGAGATATTATGGAATCTTTATCTTTCTTATCCTGAAAGAGGAAGGCACATGGGCCATTTATACACTTAATAGGATCTTAAAATCAAGAAAAGGATTCCACCACAAATATATAACATTCATGATACAATTGCCATCTACAATTAAAATTATTCTTTTAATCTTCTAAATAATGAACTAATAAATCTTAACTAATTGCAAAGATTTTGAATATTTCTACACCCCGTCAAACGGGGAGTATATATTGATCATTCCCAACATGGAGTATAGAGTTTCAAACGCAGGTATGTGAAAAGCTTTAGTTAGGAAATCTGCATTTTGTTGTTTGGATGGCGCGTCTCCAAGGTTATTGATTTTTTGCAATACATATATCTGCTTGGTTGTTGCACAAGAGTGTGATTGACTCTGTACCATAACTGAGAACATTTGAGATTATACAGGATTATACATGAAAGATCCTTTTTTGGCTCTCTCTTTAGTCCTATGTCACTTATCCCTAGGAGGTCTTCCTTCACTAGCAAGTTTTTCTGAAAACTCTATTTCCGAGTATGCTACTTGCGTAGTTGATCCAACCACTGATCCAGTTGCTTTTTTTGGAATTGGAAAAGTCTCAACTTTAAGTTAATTGAGTAGTCTTTAAAGCCACATCCCTTCACTTATTTCTTATGCCATTGCTTGATACTCTGCTTTTCCACTACTTCTTGTAACAATGCATTGTTTCTTACTGCTCCATATGATGAGATGGCCCCATACAAATGTATAGTATCCTAAGGTAGACCTCCCATTAAAGAGAGATTCAAATCGATCTGCATCGGTTGACACTTTTTATTTTTTTATTTGAACTTTTAGTAAATACTATTCCTTTGCCCTGTATACCTTTGAGATACCTTAGGGTTTGATATGTTCCTCCATGTGTTGCATTATGGGATTGCTCATAAATTGGCTACAACACTTATTGAGAACCTTATGCCGGGTCTTGTGTGTGAAAGGTAGATTAGTTTTCCCACTAATCTTTGATACCTTCCTTTCTCTATCCTAGTCTATGCTGTTACGGCGGTCAAAATTCGAAATTGCGGGTCAGTACTGTCATTTGTAATAGCGGTTATCGCGATGGTAAAGAGGTGGTATAGCAGTTCATATAATTATTAGAGTTATATATATGTATGTATCTATGCATACATAACTTAACAAGTAAGTTTCACACAAAAAAAATTTGAAAAGTAAGTTTGTAACTCGAATTGTATCGATTGCAGAGCAAAGGACGAGAGGAACAACGATTGGCGAACTACAGCCTGAAAAATAAGCCCAAAAACCTAAAAAAACCATCGTTGAATAAGCCCAACAATTATAATCACAAGTTTAACCAAGCCAAAAAGCCTAAAAATCCTCAGATGCAACGGTATTTTCACTACTATACCACCCAGAAATTGCGGGCGAATAGCGGCATATAGCGCCGATTTTTGCGGCACCGCGATTTGAGGCCGCAATTTGACCACCGCTATTCCTCTTACCACCACGAACCGTGATACTACCGATATAGCACCGCTGTAGTTGTGCGATTAACATCATAGACCCTAGTAATGTCTTGTTTGGATCCTACTTTGCTGTATGGATCCATTAGCGTGAGTTGGGTACCCTAGCATATTCCTATTTCTTTTAGGAGGTTTAGGACATACTTTCTTTGAGAGATGAATACTCCTTTGTTTGATCTACCGACTTTTATTCTAAAGTACTTCAAATTCCAAAGACCTTTAGTCTCAAATTCCCTTGACAACAGGCTTTTGATATAATCAACGTTTATGTGATCATTGTTGTTCGGGACTATGCCATCAACATAGACCATGAGACCTCTAGAAAACCTATCAAAGACCATGCACCAGGGGGCGTTGTTTAAGGCCGAAGAGAGGTTTTTTGAGTTTGCATACTTTTCTTTGAGATGTGGCTGTAAAAACTTCTTCAAACTCACCGTTAAGGATAGTGCCTTTACTTATAGTTGGTGCACTGACCAATCTAGGTTAGCAACTGTTAAATATTGTAAAGTAGGGTTCACCTTTCTTAGTAGTAGTGTTAGTATTTCCTTATTCGGGCTTCTTGATGGTATGTATATTATTTAATCTCTTTTAGAAAGAAATAAGATAAATATCACATGATTTGAGTATTTTACATGGTAATGATGGAACCCTAGTTGGCGTTGGAACTTGCCAGAACCCTAGCCCCCACCGTTAGAACTGAACCCTAGCCTCCTGGAAGTCGCTAGAAACCTAGCCGCTGACTTCTTTGCCCAAATCCGCCACCACTGGCATTCTTGTCCAAATCCGCCGCTGTAGATGCCAACCACGCCCAGACCGTCATCCCTGTGTCCTCATCGCTAGCCTCTGCCGCCACCGTCGAAACTGGTGCCGCCACACTGTGTTCCATAAGTTCAACGTCACCTACAGACAAAACTCAACAATCGACTTCACATGACTTCTCCATTCCGGGTATAATTAGTTTTTCTACTAGGTTAAAGATTCCAGTAAAACTTAACTCTACAAACTGGGCTCAGTGGAGTATGTTTGTCTAAACTGGTCTTGGAAGTTTGGACAAAGATGATAATTTAACCAAGGATTCTCTGAATCCTAAAACTCGAGAATGGAAACACTAGTGATATCTGAATAGCCCTATGGAGTGCGATGGAACCACAAGTCCTAAACATTTCTTTTAACTATCTTATAACAAAGATGTAGCCAAGGTAGCATCTGTAGATAATGCTACCCCCACTTACACTTTGCACAATAAAAATGCCTCTGTATTCCAACATGGGTCTTCTAGTCATGTTTCATCTACTATACATTATGCCTCTTTTTCAACATGCTCAACATCATGGATTATTGATTCATGAGCCACACATCATATGACTAGGAACAAAGACCTTATATCCAATCTCAATACTGATATAACCCAAACTACGGTTCAACTTGCTAATGGATTTGTGTCCACCTTTCCGGATAGTCTAATATATTTATTAACCAAATTACAAAAAAGCATAACTGTTCAGTAACCCCTTTTCATGGGAATAGAGAAGCTGATTGGAACAGGTTTGTCCGGTTGCGATCTTCAACAACACATCTTTGTAATTCCAATATCAGGGAGGCTCACTTGTTGGCTAGAACACCCTTCTTTGCCTGTTTCGAAACAATTGAGACCTTTTTTGAGGCATGTCAGTTAGGTAAACACACCCGTTGTCCCTATCCCCCTAGAGAGTCTAGTAGTGTCACCACTTTATTTCAGTTGATTCAATTGGATGTATGGGGACTTTGTCCCGTAACTTCTACTAGTGAATTTAAATATTTTGTTACATTTTCTGATGACCTTTCTCATGCGACATGGGTCTACTCTTGTTTATCCCCTTAATGTCATGATTTTTCAAATAAAAGGGTTAGACTGTGTGTGTGGTTGAGGTGAGCAGATGGTGCGTGTCTGTTTTGAGTATTAACGAATTTTACATTGAAACAAAAAGGGGTTTTCATCTCTGGATGATGATAGGTTTAATCGAGATAGATGAATAAAATTGGGATAACCTAGACGAGGATGTAGATTTAAGATCTCAACATCTCTATTTGAATCAAAGCGAATAAACTTTTTGTTGGTCTTGACATGATGCTTGATAATTGGTCGAGTTGGATGAAGCAAGGCAGGTGTGGCTTGTGGAGCCACATCAAACATGTTGCATTTTAAGTAGGTACACACATGCACAAATCTCAGAATTGCCAATCCTCTAGCCGAGTCTAAATCCAGAAAAACACAATCATCGGTATGAAAACTTAGTAATGCAATATTGTCTTGAGTGAGTTTACTATCATATTATAAATTGCAATTACGATTGATAACAAAGAGAGAAGATTCGAGAGTGATATTTGATGATACTTTGATGGAACCGAGGTTTAATACTTTCGAGCAGCTCGGCCATGTGGATGAATGGATTTGAGGAGCACAGTTTTAACTCATCAAACAGTTGTAAATTTTCATTCATATGATCTGATGCACAAGAATCCACTATTCTTGATGGTGAAGATTCATTTATAACAATGAAGGCTGCCGGATGAAGATGTGGTTGAACAATATTTCTTGTACTTGGGGTGGAAGAGATTAGAGGGGATGCAACAAATATCCCCGACATGGAGAAGTTTGTTGTAGTGTTCACACAAGGGCCTTCCACTTTTGGGTCTTTCATCATCTTATTATGATGAGTGATTCCTCTGGGTGGTGAACTTGAGTGATGATATGAGGGTCCTCATGCAGCATGAACAGATTGGTCAGCTTGTAAGTTTGAAGGGAACGTTCCCTTCATGGCTTTCTTACATCTGTGGCGAATTCCCATGGCCGACAATTGTTTGATTTATAGAATTCGTCCTTGGATGTCATCCGACCTTTTGTTGAGTCCCGTAAGGAGGTTGAATATTATTTCCATCTCTACCTTTTTTCTAAATTCTAGCTTGATCTTCGGGGCACTTCCATTCACGGACTTGATTAAGATCAAGAATACCTAGTTAGTAATTGTAGCTGGCACACAGATAATTCTCCTTGATGTAAATCATGGAGTGTGGTTTTGATGGAAAATAGTTCTGCAGTGTTGCTGTTGGATTACATATCACCATTTCCAGGTTCTTAAACTAGGTTCACATTAGAAAAGTTAGCAAATGGAATGATATGCTGCCGTATGTTCTAACCATGTAGCAAGTGGCTGATATCCTTACAAAAGGATTTCTCAAACCAAGCTCTCATAGAATATCAACAAGTTGGGTCTTGTAAATATTTATGCCAAACTTGAGGGGTGCATATAGGAGATAAAGTTGTAGATTAGCCTAATATTTTTTATTAGCTTTTTCTTTATGCTAATTCTAGGAGAGTTTTAGTTTCTTAACAATTAGGAAACTTTATTTATATAAAACCTACCTTGAAGATTTCTAATGAGGATGAGTAAGAATTTCTAATAAAGAGTGTATAGGTAGCATTTACACAGAAACCACTCCCATACTACAAAATGGTATTCATATTAGCATTAGTGCATTGCATACAATTTAAAGCATATTTTAGAGAACCCACTGCAGAGTTGTGATGCTGTTAGTCAAAATTGTGTACGACATATATACCACCCATCAGAATCATTGAGCATTGTAGTTGACTTTGATTAAATTGAGGAGAGACTTTCATGGGAGATGCATATGAACCAAATGTTTCCAACCATGGTTGGAGAAACAAATTTAACAAAGAATTCCATGTGTAGTGATATAAATCTGTATCCAAAAGTGGAAAAAGGATATTGAACGGTGAAGAGTTGATAGGCTGAGAGATAAATGAAGTAAATATGTAGATGTCCTATATTTCACTCTTCAAGATTTAGCTCATATGTCCCAACATATAGCCAAATTCATGGCCATCATTACCAGAATACATCATCAAAAGTGAATTTTTTCAATTTACCATCAGCATTGAATACTTCGTTTAATCCTTTCTAGTCTAAGATGATATGAGTTGTACTATAATATTTTTAGTATGTGAGGTGGTTAAAGAGGTCTGATTTCAGAATGAAATCAGTAGTGATTGTATTTCTTTTGACTCGATTAACATACACCAATACATATATTTAAACAACGTTGAGGAAATCAAATCTCTATAATTTCCTAATTTAAAATATTTTGTTTCCTTTTCTTGTTGATTCCATGACACTCCCCCTTAAGCTGGAGCATAGATATTGACCATGCCTTGCTTGTTACAAACATAGTCAATACCTTTCCCATTCACGACTTATGTGAAAATGTCTCCTAACTGATCTATTGATGGAACATGTTCTGTTGCAATGAACCCATCTTCAATCTTTTCTCGAACGAAATGACAATCGATTTCAATATGCTTCGTTCGGTCATGAAAAACAGGATTTGAAGCAATATGAAGTGTTGCCTGGTTATCACACCAAAGTTTTGCAGGAAGTGCAATCACATAGCCAATTTCCTTAAGTAGTTGATATATCCATGCTATCTCATAAATCGAGTCGCCCATTGCTCTATATTCTTATTTAGCCATGGACCGAAATACCACATTTTGTTTCTTACTCCATGAAACCAATTTCCCCCCAACAAACACATAATACCCTGAGGTGGATCTACTATCATTTTTGCATCCTCCATAGTCCGCAACTGAAAAAGCTTCAAATAGGCAAGTGAAACATTCTACCTTACCATGGCCATGACGTCTAAGATCGAGAACATATTTCCTCTATGATAAGATCCCCCTCATGTTCCTCATGATCTCTACTCTAAGGAAATATATCAGTGGTCCCAAATCCTTTGTCATGAAGTGAGATTGAAGGAACATCTTTAGTTTTGATATGCCTCGACTATCACTTCCAATAATCGTAATATCATCAACATATGCTACAAGTAGGATCACATTATTTTCAGGATGCTTGTAGAAAACTGCATGATCAGACTTGCACCTTTTCATTCCATATTTCAAAATAACTCGGCTGAATTTTCCAAACCATGCTCGAGGACTCTACCTCAATCCATACAAGGATTTCTGAAGGCGACATACTTCCCCGTACTCCCAAACAGGTAATATGAGAGTAATCATCAACAAAAGTAACAAAATACATGAAACCTGTTTTTGAAGTAACAAGACACAGATCCCAAACATCAATGGACTAACTCAAATGAACCCACATATTAACACTCAGACCTAAAAGAACACGATGATGTTTGGCCAACTGACAAGAGTCACACGATAAAGACGATAGATGAGAAATAGCTACTATATAATAATTATATATACTATATCCTTAAAATAATATCTTGTAATTTCAGAGAAAATATGTTGTTATTCTCATTGAAAAGCAATAGGGGTATTTATACAACTTAGAGACCTAACTAGAATCCCATAATTTAAGGGATTTGATAACATACAAGGAAACTTACCAAACTATTCAAATATCTACCAAATCTGTTACAAAAGGAAAAATAATCCCAAGAAATCAGGGATTATATTCATCGTATCAATTCCACGTATCTATATCCTTATTTGGGGACAAAGTTTCTTCAAATTCTCAAGGGAGGGATGACCTAACCGACAATGTACCTCAAATGGAAATAAAGAAGACTTGGAGCATATGAAGGCGTTCAGTGCCTGAGGTTCAAATATATAAAGGCCATCAAATTCCTGTCCTTTACCAATTATTTGCTTCGTCGAAAGATCATGAAAAACACAATGATCCAGAAGAATGAAACGCTGCAATTTAAGTTGTGCGTTATCTTACTGACAGACAACAAATTAAAAGAGAACTTAGGAAGGCTTAAAACTGAAGATAAGGAAATAGACGGAGTGAGTTTAACAGTGCCTGAACCAAGAACGGGTGGATTAGATCTATCAGCATTCATGACATGAGATGAGGGTGCATGGTTATAGAATTCAGAAAAGAGATTAGGATTACCAGTCATGTGGTTCGAAGCACCGGAATTAATAACCCATTTGGATGTAGACAAATAAAAGGCATCGAGTAGTTTTACCTGTCTCCTTAAAGGCAGTAGCAGCGGGTGTCTTATCCCCCATAGTCACCAAGAAAATGATGCAATCAAGAAAAACAATCACCAAGAAAATGTTGCAATCAAGATAAACAGTCTCCTGAAGAGAAAAGCAATGGCGGCCTCAACTGTACTTGGATCAGATTGCAAAGATCGTGACCAACGGAATCGACCAAACAAAATTTGGGGATTGATTGGCAGCAAAATCAACTGAAATATGCAATGGTGTCACCAACTGTGGTCAAACTTCACCAAGGGTTGTACAACACAGAGAACCAAAAAAGTCTCGAATACAAATTTCCCAAGCAAAAGTTAGGAACTTGCCAAACTCTGTAGGGCTGAACAGAAGAACCCAAGATGAAACAAACTTTGTAGGGCGAATAGAAGTACCAAAACTTGGGAAAAAAAACTACTTTCCCAAGCAGTTGAACCACGGCTTGCCAAAACGAAGAACCAATATGGAAAAGAACGAGGGTGGAAGCACGTGGGTGGCAGATGGCACGTGGGGCTCACACGTTGGTCGGATGACGACCGTACTCACCGGGTACGCCGACTAGGGTTGTCTGAGGCTAGCAGTGTTGGCTGTGAGATTGAACAACGACTAATTAGCTTTCCCAAGGTGATTAGCGGCGATCATATTAAAAAAAACCTAAACAAATCTCATAAAATCTCTAGCTCTGATACCATGAAATCAATAGTGATTGTATTTCTCTTGATTCAATTTACATACACTGATACATATATTTATACAAGGTTTGAGGAAATCAAATGTCTATGATTTTTGTGCTTTGAAGTAATATGGTAGTTCATATAGCAAAATTAATATTTTTTTTTGCATGCAGGTTGGATATATGTACTTGAGATGGCTCTGAAAGTTTATACATATGGATTTGAAAACTATTGGAAGGATAGTCAGAACCGATTTGATTTCATTGTCACATGGGTCATAGGTACATTTGACTATTCCAACACCAATATATGTGATTATACCTCTTTCAATTGGCAGACATACAAAATAAGCAAATGTTGATCATTGCTACTAAATTGGAGGGACTTTATTTCTGCTTTTGTGGAATGAGGAATATATATATATATATATATATATATATGGAGAGGGTTTATTTGAGATGTGGTAAGTATTTGAGAAGTAAAGAAGTGATCTTAGCCCTTCATACGGTCAAAATTGGTCAAGAATTGCGGCTTCAACTAGTCAAGATTTGTGGCTTTGACTGGTCAAGCAAAAAAATAAAGGGGTAGTTTCATAACTTCTACAAATAGGCGGCAAACAAGTGCATATGTGAACCCATAGTTCATATGTGAACCCATAGTTCATATGTGAACCCATAGTTCATATGTTAATTAGTTCATATGTGAATCACATGGGTTCAAATATGAACATATAGTTTATATGTGAATCACACGGGTTCACATATACACTTGTTTTGCCCCCTATATGTAAAAGTCACGAACTACCGTTCTATCTTCCACATACCATGCGAGGAATTATCCGGTGTTTCACAATTAAAACCGTAAATCTTGACCAAATGAAGAGCTATGATCATTTCTCTACTTTTCAAATACTTGCCACTTCTCAAATGAACCTATGGCTATATATATATATATATATATATATATATATATATATAACTGTACTTTTTTTCCTTCAACATGATAATGCATAAGATGGTTATCTAACTTATACATGACTCTACACTTATGACATGTATCAACGGTCTTTAGGCTACCTAAAGAACTGAATGGGTGGGAACATTTATGGTTTTGGTGTTTGTACTAATGGACAGGTGATTTTCTGGAAAAATGGGTATGTATAGGAACAAAGAGTATAATTGGGTGTCATGTTGATGTTGGTGCCACCAACCATCTTTCTTGGGGGATGTAAGGATGGAGATATTATAGTTGGCATTGCTATTTTTATCATAGATCATGTGTCCCAAGAACTTGAGCATGTGCAAAAGCAGATAGACAAGTATGAGATATACGCACACTCTGCCGGAAGACAATTCTTACCATAATAAGCGGGGTAAATTGTTGTATACGATATTGGACTAAAATCTTACCCGGTAAGTAAATAATAATGTTAAATTTTACTGCTAAATACTTACCGGATAAGTATTTGGTAAAATTACACTTCCCAAAGCAGTTTCTCGCTCAATTGAGTTCACAGAACAGAATGCTGTGAATTGCCTGTCACTTTATTTATACTACCCCCCACCCCCCAATTCTCCTACCGGCCTGCCAATATTGACTGGTTGACTAGCGTTGGCGGCGGTGGTTCCTGATGAGCGTCTTCAAACCAACCTCTCCTTATCGTCAATTCCCCCATCGACATCGAGATTGGCATTTATGTAGATTGCGGTCGAATACCCTCCTGGATTTTGCCACTGTACCTAACTGCCTCACGCCCATCGCCATTGAACTTGGCGAGTTCGGTTCACCAACGGCTGATGTTGCCTTTTTGCAGCTCCAAACATTCGAGTTTTCCAACCTCCTCAACACCTTTTTTTCTTCAATCTCTAGTGCCAACTCATTGTCTATTGACTTCCAATATTTCTCCACTTTTGACTCCTCTTGTATCCATTCGTGTGGAAACCACTTTCGGCCAAAGAACCTGCCCAGCTACCGTCATCCCCCTCCAAATTAAGATGGGTGGTGTGAAACCACATTGTTTTTAGAAAGAAGAATGGAAACATCCCAGAAGGAGAGCCTTGGGTAGTATGTGTGTTGTCTGATCGTAGAGGAGATGGGGGGTAGACAAAGAGTGTTGATGACGACATGTTGACATAACTATTGGAGCGAAGCTCCTTATTACAAATGTGTGTAGCAATCTGACATGAGGAACACAAACTATTGGAGCAAAGTTTTTTATTACAAGGGATCACGTTTTTACCATGAAGGAAACTAAAAACGTGAGCGCCTGGGTGATGTAGACGTTGATGCTAGTTTTGAGATGAAAGAGCCGCTAGAGACACCGGAGGTGTAGATGGAAGCCGAGGGAGAGTGGAGACGGGATAAAGGTTGCTTGAGCTATTGCATATCATGATTGTGCCTCCCGTTCGAGATCCTTCATGAGGATCAAATTGGATAGATGAATTGTTGTATTTGGTAAATTGACGAACGGAAATAAGGTTTTTAATGATGTGAGGTGTGTGAAGGACATTACGAAGAGGGAGGTTGGCGGAAAGAGGCTAGGCTTGTGCCGATAACAAGAATGCTTTTACCATTGCCAACATAAGCAGTCAACAATACTTGAACTAGAAATGGTATGGAGAGTACATGTGCTCAGAAAGTCATGTGAGAAGTGGCCCCGGAGTCCATGTGCCAAGTAGGATTAGGCATATGTGGTAAGTCTTGGAACTGCTCAGAGGGAGTGTCATGAGTGTCGTTGCCACAGTTGCAAAGTTTATTGCCATGATTACTGTCGTTGTCGTTCGGAGTGGGGCAGGAGAGTGTGGAGTAACTACTATAGGCTACTATTCTGTAGTTCTAGCATGGGCACAACGAGAATCCTCACAAAAGAGCATACTTCATGCTGTGTCAAAAGATGGCAGCGATGAGGTGTTGCTAATGATGCTGCCAATAGTATCCAGTGTCGGGGTCAAAACCATTGATTAGTTGAAGAACTAAGCTTTGATCACTCACTCTGTGATCAAAATCTGAAAGTTGGTTGGACAACATCTTAAGTCGTTGGTAGTATGGACCAACTGAAGTGAAATCACACAGGTACGTGGGACCAAATTGGTGTTCCGAATCTGCCGCACGGACGCTTCTGTTGTCATGAAAGTGGTTCTTGATGCATAGCCAACTTCTCACGCAGTAGAACCAGGCATGAGGATTCTAAGGAGCAGATCTTGGGTAATAGTGCCGTAATTCCAAGATAAAACGATGGCATCAATTTCATCCCACTCAGTTTTGTGGGTGGGATCAGCCGATCAGGGGGAGTGGTGCCATCAAAATGGTCCATGACATAGGGAACACTGCCGCAACCAGGAAGTGTTCTGCCTAAGAATGATATTGAACCTGGGGATTGAGAGTAAAGAGGATTCTGGTTCCAAATGTTGCTGACGGTCTGGGGAGGGTGAACAGCGAGGACATGAGCTATGTTGTCTTTTTGTTATTGGGTAGTCATTGTTGAAGAGGATTGATGCTGGTCTGGTGGAACAAACCAAGGTACAACAACAATTGCACCAGGTATAATACTGTGCTTAGAACAGGCCCGTATAGGGGGGGGGGGTGCAAGAGGGATCCAATGGGAAAGAGCGAAGCAGAGAGAAGTCCAGGGAAGAACAACGCCTGATGGGGGTTTAGTTGGGGAGCAGAGGAGGCTGACGCACAGGAACTCTCTACCGCGGTTGTCACAGTTAAGAGCGTAAGGCTCCTATACCATGAAAGGGATTGGAATCCTTGCTTCATCCGATTGTATTCTTTTATATATAATCGGTTATATACATCATAGGAAACAAATCCTGAATACATCATTTACATGATTACTATCAATTATCAACCACTTTGTTATATTTTTTGCACACTCATAGTTACTGCACATATTAGGCTGTACCCCATTTAAAAAACTTATGAGCTCATTGCTTTTCTCTAGCCTTGATGGTAAAAAATTAATTTATTCCACGTATATCATCTTTTGCTTGGAGGTGTTCCCGTAAAATGGATTTACAGCTCATTCTTGATGCAGTCTCACTGAAAGGGCAAGTGTATATTCTCTCTGTCGCACATTGATTAGGGAACACGACCGTACATGCTTATTACCAAGTTCTATTGGCTCCCTAAACTACCTGTTTATATCTAATATCAATTCGAACAAACCAGCCAGAAGTGGGTTTGCATCGAACTTTTTTGAAGGACCAATTTTTGTCTATTGATGAAGTTCTTTTTAACGAAAGAATTAAAACAAAATTTAGCACATCTAAAAATGCAAACACAGCAAGTAATTTTGGACAGAGCAGGTTGTGAAAATGAGCAAATAAATTGATGGATTTCAAATCTGATTTGATGCTGTGGCTGTTTAATAGAAGTCCTACTACCTATGTTTCTAATTAGCTGACACAAGCACAAATAAGTTCGGATATTAGTATAAAAGGAATGCAATTTCACTGTCCAAGGAGAATGCTACTTGTATCTCCTCAATGTTTGTGTATATTATAGGGTAAAGAAAACAGAGGGTGCTACACATCTCGTATTTAGCAGGTTCAAGAGAGGTGTATTCTTAGCAGCATTGCTAACATACCAGCAGTTGATTCATACTAAACTTTTTTGCCAAGCAACCAGGGTAAAACGGAAAATACTTTGATTTCTAAATCAAGGATTTGATTTTTCCCTCGTAACAACAAAATTTTAGTGTTTATCATCGTCTTTCCAATCTACACTTTCTATTCTTTGGATTAGTCTAATATTGGATGTGCGGTTATTTATATCTTTTTTCCTTTTCAATGATGTTGGCAGTTATTGGAGAAACAGCAACATTCGTATCTCCGAAGGAGCTGACATTTATTTCGAATGGGGAGTGGTAAGGCTGTTACAAATTTTCAGTTTGTGAGATGTTATGTATGTTTGGTCCAGGATTCCTGCATGATGCCGAATTGGGACTGCTGATGGTGATAAACAATTGCTGTTGAAATGAAAACGTTCTATGTGAGGGCATAATAGAGCAAAACTCCATTTTTCGATTCCAAACAAAGTTTTTATTTTTCCTTTTGAGGAAATAAACAAATCAACCAAGCTTCTGAAATCATGAAGTCAAGTAATTTTTTCTGGTATAGATCAGGAAACTGACATCTTTAAGTCCATGTAGATGATTGGTATATATTAGACAATTAAGTGTGATATATATATATATATATAATTATATTAGAGGGTCTAGAGTGTAAATGTATCTCTTATATATATCCCTGATTGTAATCGATATATATATACATAATTACCAAGTTTATCTTGGTATCAGAGCCGGCCCTAAACGCCCTACGGCTGCTGCCCTACGGCTGCCCACCGCTGCCGCCCCACCGCTGCCGCCCCACCGCTGCCGCCCTACTGCTGCCATCACAAGGCAACCCTAACAGAGCCGGCCCTACAGCTGCTGCCCTACCACAGCAGCCCCATCACAAGACAACCCTAACAGCCGGCCCTACAGTTGCTGCCCTACGGCTGCTGCCCTACCGCTGCCGCCTTACCGCTGCCATCACAAGGCAACCCTAAAGCTATCCCACCCGTCTTCTACCCTACGGCTGTCTCACCTTCTGTCCAATGACAACTGTTGCAGCTTTCACTCTAACCGAGAAAACCATCCATAACTCCCACAAGTTTGGCTTCACTTTATCACCAAACAACTATGGCTATTGGAAGACAATGGTTCAACCGTTCCTTGTCACAAACAACCTGTTCGGCTATGTTGATGGCACCATTCCTTGTCCACCGATGACTATCTCATCATCATCATCATCTGGAAAAGATGCCGACAGCACCACAGTGCCCCCACCACAACCGAATCCTAACTACACAGCATGGGTTTCCAATGATGCACATGTACGGATGCTGATTATTTCTACAATCTCTGAGGCGGCGTTCCAACACGTTCAAGGACTTACCTCCCGTGATCTTTGGCTGTCTCTTGAACGTGCTTATGCTCCTCACACATCATCTAGGGAATACACCCTAAAAACTCAGCTTCTTAAACTAGAGATGAAGCCTGCTGAAACCTCCTCCGCATACTTGACCAGGGCTCAAGAATATGCTGATGCTCTCGCCAATATAGGCGAACCAATGAAAGAAAAAGATTTGGTGATGCTGGTTATCTCGGGTCTTAGAGAAGAATACAACGGCCTGAAGTCAACACTCCTTGGTCGCCAATTCCCAACTGCCTTTGCAGAACTTCATGGCCTGCTATCAGACCATGGTATATGAACACGATATACTGGAATTTTGTTGTTCGTGACTTGCCTTTTGAAATTGAGCTTCCTTATAAACCGAAGTCTAGACCCACCCAAGAGTGAGTCCTGAACAAGGAAAATGCGAAAGTGAATTGGTAAATTAATACAGTTACAATGTGCTTCCTTGTCGTTGGATTAGTTTAACAAGTAGCTACCTGACAGCCCTAGTTCTTGACCTTTTGAGAAAAAGTGCATCAGCACGTTCATCAAAATAGATGAACCCTCCCAGATCAAATCCTGAGGAAAATAGGATATTCCTAGACTACCAGGATCAAGGAACAACCCCCCGAGTATGGAGCTCTAATGCCATGACAAAAACACAAAAAATGGAAATCGGAGATATTTAAGTGGAATGCATCTTGCAATATCTCCTTCCCATGTATAATATGTATATATCATATTATACATATCGTCGTTTATTTTTAATGTGTGTATGTATAGGGGTGGGTTCAAATGAGAACCACTAATATTTTGAGAAGTGAGGAACCAACTATTTCATCATATATATATATATATATATATATATATATATATATATATATAATGTAGCCTATGGGCAGAATAGTTTTATATGATTCTATAAAAAAATTCTACAGTTGCTCCTAAAGGTTATTTCTATTTCATACCATATACTGAGGTTGACTTTGATAATCAACTGCAATTCTTCTAAACTAACAACTTGTATATTGGCACCAGCTTATATTTTGGACATAATAGATTTCCACAATATTATTTCCAGGATTCGTTATCTTCTTATCGCAAGGATGTTAAGGTTGATTAGGATCTTGATGCATGTTCAAAGGTACCGAGCCTTTATTGCTACATTTTTAACGCTGATACCAAGTTTGATGCCGTACCTGGGTACCGTCTTTTGTGTCATGTGCATTTACTGCTCAATGGGCATACAGGTACTTTCAGTTTTTATGCTTGGCATTTGCCTTCAAGTCTTTTGTTTTACATAACATGTGCGTCTAAATTGTGTGCTTGTTCTTTGTATACTTCAAGGTATTATCAAATATGCGTGGATAAATATTTCTTTTTCTCTAACAGTGGAATACTTCTGTAATATATTACACATCTTTTTCAGGAGCTAGTCTACAGAATATATCTATCTGATGCGTCTAATGTGCAACAGAAACCACTTCCTTTTACTTTTTTAAAGATGTATCTGGAGCTTCAAAGACATGTAATTAAACGCTACTTACTTTTTTCCTTATGGTGCTAGATCTTTGGTGGGATAGTCAATGCGGGGAACCCAGATTTACCAAGTACAGATCTTGCTGATAGCGAGTATCCTACACTATTTGCTACAATGCTTTATGTATTGACTATTGCTAATTGCTTTCATCTAATACCTTATTATACATATCAAACAAATACAATACAATGTTCTAGATTAGATCAAGAAGAATTATGTATCAGCATCCTATAGCGCTTTCATGCCAAACAATTATGGTTAACTGCTCATGTGGCATATTTTTCACATATACATCAATTTGTCAGTAAATCTTCCTTGACTTGACCAGTTACTTATTATTTAACTTTAATGACTACCCCAATGGTATGGTGACACTCTTCAATTTGCTTGTGATGGGAAACTGGCAAATATGGATGCAGGTATGATCCATTCATGGTACTACCTGTTTTTCTTCATCCCCCTTTATGTGCAAGTTATATGCATGTGTTCACTATTCCATTAGTACATTGTGTGCTCTTTCAACTTATCTGTTGGTTTGTTTACTTCACTTGTTTATATAGCTTTTGTCTACTGTAAACTTCGTGTTCCAAACACTAAAAATATGGGTGCTTCTATAGGCTGTAATTACTTGTAACAGGGTTATAAATCTCTTTATCTGATCTGGAAGACAGATTGGTGGTTTTTCTTGATTGTTATCATCCTGTTAGATAAGCATAAAACTATCTAGAGCCATTCAAGGATTTGGATAGCGTGAGAATGGTCATTTCCAATGTCCATATCAAAAGATAATTTTGTCCATGTTAGAAAGTAATACGAATTGTATATATCTATCCATTATTGATTGATATAATTTATATTTTGACACCTTATATGACAAGAATCCAAAAGACAAATATAGATTTTGGCCAAGATATTAAAGATCGGAGGAAATTACAATGTAAGAAAGAACATCCTTCATAAAAAGATATGAAACTCAAGATGTATAATGGTGTTAACAAAAAATAATACTAAATAAATGTGATGAGAGCATTTCGGATGTCTTCACATTCTCCTCTCCAAAATATAATAACAATTCCATATACTTTCTAAGATACTCTTGGTCGTCATTTATTTGGGTGTGTTTTAAAGAAGTAAAAGGTGGAAAAGTTTGACTACCAGATTCTTGCATTGAAATTTGAAACCATCATACATATTGGACTTCTTATTTGAAATAAGTCATGGGTAATTTTGGAAGATATACAATATCACAGTACTTGGTCAAGTCAATACCCTTAATAAGCATGCCAAAAAATCCGGTTGATTTACAATCGATGGATCTGCTATATGTTGGATATGTGTATTTTTAGAACTGTACCCTTTTCCACTTTGAGGAAATCAAATGTGGATGTTTTCACCACTACTAGTCATGGAATGAAAAGATATAGTATTTACACACATCTGTTTATAGGCGTAGCACTTGCCTGGACTTGAGTTTGCTGATCACCATGTCTTTCCTTCTATACATATTCGGTCCAAAATTATTATGATTCTAACGACTTGACAAGGTGTAGACCTTTCAAATATTCTATTCCAGAACTCCAATGTCGAAGGAAAAAAATGTTGTTTCATTTATGCAGAAGATATTATATTGGACCTACTGTGGAATGAAAAGATATAGTATTTACACACATCTGTTTATAGGCGTAGCACTTGCCTGGACTTGAGTTTGCTGATCACCATGTCTTTCCTTCTATACATATTCGGTCCAAAATTATTATGATTCTAACGACTTGACAAGGTGTAGACCTTTCAAATATTCTATTCCAGAACTCCAATGTCGAAGGAAAAAAATGTTGTTTCATTTATGCAGAAGATATTATATTGGACCTACTGCTTGTATGTATATTGTATGCTTTATTTATCATCGTCTCGACATGAAAAAACTCAGCTTCTTTGACCTACTCTATTAAATCTATTGGCCTTCATTAACATACCAAAACCTTATATAACCAACAAATACAATGCATGCTCTTTCTAACTTGTTTGACCTAGATTCATATCTGAAGTCAACCAACTGCCTTAACCTTGATACTGATATGACTTATCAAAAGGGCTATTACTCGTTCATTTGATCATTAAAAACACTTCATCAGTGGCTATGGTTGGTTCATCACTTAAATGTTCATTCAACTATTTCAGGATTATGCGATATTGACAGGAACAGCTTGGAGTTATGCATACTTCATCAGCTTCTATCTAATAACAGTTCTGCTCCTCCTCAATTTGGTGAGTCCTCATGATTGGTTTTCAAATCCCTCACAATATCAAGTGCCAAACGTATATATCATATGCAAACCCACTGGCATCTCAGTAATGATAAATACTGTTATTTTAGAGATGTTTTAAGGATTCTTTTCTCTTCTGATGTTTGTGGTATCTTCTGGTTCCTTTACTAGAAGCTAATTCTATTTGAACAACCGAAAGAGGATAGTTTTTCATTCCATACATTGGTGATATTATATTTTAGATATTTCTATTACAATATCATGAAAAAAAACTTGATTATTTTCAGATTGTCGCATTTGTGTTGGAGGCATTCTTTGCTGAATTAGAAATCGAGTGTCCTGACGAAGATGAAGATGCGAAGGTTAGTAAAGTTCAATCTTATCCTACGTTACCTTGCATGGCTTCTTTTTCTTTCCAAATTCCACTTTCAAGATCACTTCTCACCTGTTAAAATGGCAAGGTATAATGCTTTGAAGCTCATGTGGTTAACTGTACTTTGTTTTTGTATGAAGGGAAAGGGAGGAAGGGGACGCCGTAACTTGGGGTAAGTCTCAGGAAGGTTAAATTTTACTTGTACATGCATATTATATACTCCATACTTGCTTACCTTAATTATTTCTGATAAAAAATTTCAGCACAAAGACGCGCAGTCAGAGGGTTGAGATGCTACTTCACCACATGCTGAGCGCAGAGCTGCATCAATCACCACCTTCCTCTCCATAAATATATATACACTGATACCTCCCAGGTAGCATACTCGTTTCTCCCTTTTGGTCACGAGTTCCATATAAGCAAGCACCTTCTAAGTTCAAACTTAAATTTAACTTCTCGGGGTATATATATATACACATACAGGTCAGGTTTAAAAAATGAAAACTGAAAAACACCCTAATAACTATTCATTTGTACGGTATAGCATACTCGTTTCTCCCTTTTGGTCACGAGTTCCATATAAGCAAGCACCTTCTAAGTTCAAACTTAAATTTAACTTCTCGGGGTATATATATATACACATACAGGTCAGGTTTAAAAAATGAAAACTGAAAAACACCCTAATAACTATTCATTTGTACGGTATGCACATGTGCATACAAGTAATTGAAGATGTTTCCTGGTTACTAATGCACGTGTGCTTATGTTATTAGTTTGTCTGGTATGCTCATGTACAGATGAATAGTTATTAGGGTGCTCTTCACTTATTGAGGTTTCCCTTGAACCTCACTCTACACTTGATGCATCATGTTAGTGTTCTAGATAATACGTTCATATTATATTTTCTAGAATTGAGAAAGTGAGCGAGTTTTATTGCATTTAAGTGTGATGGCAATTAACATACATTTTGTTTTACTGCATTTACAGGTTGAAGTGACTTATGAGTTCCTATTCTTTTAGTTTTGCCAGTGTTTATAATATAAACTCATCCAATGGATCAACAGAAACCATTGTTAGTGTTACATGTGTTCTTTTTTACTCAATTTGTTAATAGATACCAAACGTCACTCATTCTTCATATGTCTATTTAATAACTTTAGTGTACATCTCCTCTTTCGAGCCAATGATTTTGCTTCCTTTTCTGCTACATTATTGTACCCATCTATAATCTGCGCAAAACTGATAACTCCAATCGGTCCCATTCCGTTTCCAAGGACACCAATGAGAGGACATTCTTTTGGTTCACTCAAGGGCTGAGGCTAAAGGGAGGCGAGGGGTCGAATCTGGGACCTATCTTGTATTTGGACAAACCCACCTATAACGTTTTTGCTCATCGGGTATGAAAATTGTTCTAGGCAACAGATGGAGAAAATGTAGATTTGGAAGCTACTATGGTTGTGTTGGTTTTGCACTATTAGCATTTTAGATGGATGAAGAGAAGATCATGTCAATTTTTTAACACAGAAGCAACTTTATTTATGAAGGATGTTTGATTCACAAAATGAAATTTGGTGGATCAAATTATTTTATCAGTATAAATACATTTAAGTAATTTCAACTTTATCACAGTATTTTTAGATTTTATACAATTGATATTTGAATATTGAAATTAACACGTGGACTTTTCTCATTTAGGTAGTTTGGATTTCTCTTTATAAGTGAAAATTGAGAGAGATAAAAATTGTAACACTTGAAATATTTTCAAAAAGGTCTATTACATTTAAAAAAACCAAGAAAAATGAATTTTCAATAAATTGGAAAAAGGTTTTAAAATTATTAATGGGCATAGGCTTTGAAAACGATATGATTGATAGGGGCCGTTTACCAATCAGTTACCTGGTAAGCGTTTGTCGGTAAAATTCAACATTATTACTTTCATACCCGATAAGATTTTAGTCTACCAAAACAGCATTGGATACAACAATTTACCAGTAAGTGCTAACCATGGTAAGCATCGTTGTCCTCACTTATCGAATAAGACTCTTGATTCTTGTCTCGCTCTTATCGGATATGATTTTTGGTCCTTACGATATTCATTCAATAAGATAATATGACGTGATAAGCACTTACCCCGGTAAGCGTTTAGTAAATGACCCCTTAGATTTTCTTTTAATTCAGAGCATGTCTAATCAATTATACGTAGCTTTTTTATGTTAAAATAATATAGATAACCAATTTTTAATGATTTTTTATTAAAAATAATATTCAAGAACTTGACCATTTTGATTTTTGAATAAATTTTAAAAAAAAATTGTGTTCTGATGATAAATTTGTGACATTCTCAAATCTGTTTGAAGGTCATAGATTTAACAAGAATCAACCACGAGACCCCTTCTAAACAAGCAATCATACACCAAAATGCACAAGGCTTGTTGCTCATTGCAACGAAGGATGCGAATACGATGTAGCAGCAATTGGTTATATCGGCTGCGCTAAGCATCTATCAAATATTTACTGCAATCTACATTTAAACAAGTCCAGATATAAGTTGTCGCACTAGTTTAGCAGTCGGTTATATGAAAACGAGAAACTTTAAAACACAAGTCATTTTCTGTTACCCGTGGAAAGACTTGCATCAGCTATTCAGCTTCAAACACGATACTGGTCGCAATTGGTAACCCCATATCTACTGAAGTTTGAAATGAGACCATTCATCAATTTAGCCACTGCTGCTTTGAATGACTTTGATCCGCTTTTTTCATTCGGGATTTTTTCATCGGTTATAGAACCTACTGGAGCACCCTCCATATAAGCTTTGCATGCCAACAGGATACAATGTGCACGGCTACGGAAATGACCACCGACAAGGTCCTCAAAGTGCTGCAGTACACATTACCAATACAGCTAAGATTTTATTTGTGTAAACAATGCTTATCGTTAAATGAAAGTGCTCACCAAAGAGGTTTCATGGCTGAACTACTGTTAGCTGAAAACTTAGTTGGCTAATAAACTAGTTGTTAGCCGGTAAGTTAGTCATGTTTGGTAAAGACTAATTGATAAGCTAGATGACAATATAAAATGACCTAAAAAGAACATATTGTTTTTCGTCATTTATGTAAAATACAAGGGGCATAATCAAGAAAAAGTGAGAAAAAAAGCCCTTGGGGCTTATTGAAACGCTATCTAAAGTAGCTTTTCGAAAAAGAGAGCTTATAAACGGCTCATAGCTTACCAAACAGGGATTTTTCAATATGCTAAAAGAATAAGGTTACATGGCCCAAGTAGTACTATAGAAGAGCAAGGTCACCTAGGAGCAGGTCCCGTTAGGAGCCTAAAATTGATTAGCAACCCAGGACCACCCACCAGATGACATGTGGTATATTCATTAGGAACATGCACATATTAGTCATCATGAATGTTGTAATATATTCATTAAGAATGTGCAATTCAGTTTGATGAATAACACTTCCAATTCATCATGAATGTGTTATTCATGATTCCCGGGTTCCTAATCAAATTTGGGTTCCTAATGAAACTTCCCTCGGTTCACCTAATAACCTAATCTTATCCTGGATTCAATTAAGTGGCCCACAAGCTGAATCATTAGGCAATTGATTATATATCTAATCCAAGATAGGATCAATCATCTAACTCATCCAAATCGATGGATCATGACCATCGATCCACTCTTTTACTTTTTTGGTGTATATATCAAGGCCAGAGTACCATACCATCCATGATGGGTTAGATACACACACTCCTCATAGGTAAATCTAAACGTTTAATGGCCTTCTAACATAACCTCATCCTCATGTCCACTACAAACAAAAATTGTAGCTAACAAACTAGAAAATTCAACATACGTTGTAGCTTAATTGCAGGGCAAGCAGATATGGTCCAAGCCAATTTTACAGCAATCCTATCAGTACCCCACACATATCATAAAGCTCTTCAAAACTATATAATCAATAACCATATATTCGCAAACTGATACACCTTGGTTTTATTCTTACTCTGCCCAAATCATTGTCCCAATAGTACTTCACATTCAGGTTAACATGGGAACTAGATGATTTACCAAGTGACAAATCAAACTAAACACAGAAAAAAGAAAGGAAGTAGAGAAAAATAATCAACAGTTTTCCAACTAAAAATAGAAATACAAGTATTTGGAATAGCCATGAAAAAGCCATGAATATGAAGTGGAGGAGAGAGAGAGACCAGATGCGAGGATATGAAGTCATACCTTTGGAGGTCTCCTGAGTGTATACATCATTGTTTTCAAGGACAAAATGAAGATTTCTTCATTATAGGCCTTGGATTTTTTCTCCCCTTCCGCTCCAGGATACATATTATCATAGCCAGGCTCATTAAAGAATGGGTTTGCATTCAAAATCAATGCTTGTATGGACACTAAAACTTGTAGCATGGTTGATTTATTTGGCATCCACTTCTCATTCCCTTTGCCAGTCCAGGTGTTTAGAAGGCTAAGGCAGACTTTTCCACAATCATACAAGTTTGGGTTCAGCCGAAGGCCACCAGAATAGTAATAAACCATCTAAAATAGAGCCACAAGAATTAATTTCGTATTTTAATATGTGAAAACAGCCATAAAACCAAAACAAGGAATTATCAATCGTTATATACCGGGGGTATGTCTGGATAGTTGGGAGGAAAATGAACATCAAAGACAAAGAGCCCATCATGGTAGGGGGTGCCTGCTGGTCCTATGATCACAGCCCTCAAAAGATCCATTCTCGTCTCATATGCCCTGACAAATATAGTATCTGCCCAAGTAAAACAAAGTGAGTAGTTTTTAAATTGCACCAAACTTAACTAAATTACTGAGACATATAAACCAAGTCACAAAAACTGAGTCGTGATATGAAATGTGGTATAAAAAGATACATCCTTACTTGTGATCTGTAAGATATCGACACAAAAAGAACTTTCTGGACAGTTAACACTTAACATATACATTTGGTTTTGCCAAGAAATACATTGTGTGCATCTTTGTTCTACGAAGTGTCAATTACGTGGTTTATCAGTGTTCCGGACAAGATTGCTAAATAGTAAATACAAATTGCTGTTGTATGTGTATATATGAAGTGGGGGGGCATGCATATATTTCGCATCTGCTTCTACCTTCAAACGACGAGATATTTTTTTGTGAATTGTAGTGCATACATATCATTGCCAGTGTACATGTAGGGTACAGTAAAGTTGAGCAACTGCAACAGCAGCAAGTACACGTCTATAACCACTACTGCTAAGAGTTAATTGAGATGAAGTTGCAATGCTCTCAGATAACTGCTTAATTTTAGTTATATCCCAATCAGAAAGTGTAGCCAAAAGCATGTGAGTGATTGGAGAATTGTAACTCCATATACGAAAACATAAATACGGAGAATATGCAACAGGAACAAAGACAAAATCTCAAAAGAAGCTTAGCATGAAGATGTTTACTCCCATCTCATGGTATGACAAGCCAGTGGAAATTAGAGAAAGTAGCAAGACTAAGCATAAAATCGAACTCACCCGGTAAGTCTTTCTCTAGTATTTTCCATTCATCTTGAATTTTCTTTGTCCAACTCCTAGAAGGCTACCACCAAAAAGATTTAAGAAGGAATAATTATCTCGTGTGAGAAACATGTAAATATGCTAGAAAGATGTGTATTCGTAATTACCCTACCACAAAACACTAGAACCTGCTACTCAAACCCTCCCCCTCCCCCCCTCCCCTTTCCCCAACCCCAGAGGAAGTGAAGAAAACTAAAGAATGAAAATGCATAGCATAATACAATGAAAGGGAGGTGCACAAGGTAATGGGTATAACAAAACTTCACTGTACACAGATTACCTGTTGTCCTTGAAAGCCTGCACAGTTGAAGTGATGATCAGAAACATCATCAACTGTGTCAAACAATTTAAATTCTTCAAACTTCTTCTTCAATTCGTTTTCAGCGACCTCTTCCTTATTTTTTGCAGAACTCGGAACTGGATTTTGATGGACTGTCGAACTGCTACTAGCAACATCCTTACCTTTGTTCATGGGTAGACATGGATTTTCTAGTATTTCAGCTCCTGTGGAGAGGACTTGAGGAACCATGGGGGCTAAATTGCTCAGGCTAGCCGTCATACTTGTGCTTGGGACAGGATCCTTCAACCAGGAAAAAGATGCTTCAACACCAGGAGGCAAATCAACATTATCAAATTGCGCTTGCATGCTCAAATAATGAGCTTCCTCATCATCTTCTTCTATGTTCTCAAACATGTAATCACCATCATCATCATAATCAAAGGCATCATCTTCCTCATCAACCATGTCATCACCATCATCGTCACCATCATCGTCATCATCATTGTCATCATCATGGTACGATGTGTCTGAATTGATATTTCCTGAGCTTAGTGATACAGATGATCCAGCTTCACTAGTAGGATTCGAAATTTCCTGATAAAGGATAACAAAGTTTTGTCTAAAACCTTCCAGAATAGAATGATTGAATCCCATAGATAACAAAGTTTTCTCTAAAACCTTCCAGAATAGAATGATTGAATCCCATAAAACAACTATTATGGATATACATTGATGAATTTCATGTTTAATGAAAAAAGCACGAAATCAAAGAGGTGTTGAAAATATGAAGTGAAAGCCAAAGATATCAGTCTATAGTCAACACAACAAAAATCATCAATAGATGAAAAAAACTATGATATGTATACTAGGAAATGAAGAATCTGAATTGCACTGTCAAATTATCTAACCTGAAATCTCAGACCTCATTGTCAAAACTGTGATCTTCTTTAGAAACCCTCAAAGTTCAACGATACATTTAATCTTAGTTTGAACAAAAAGGGCGTGATCGGAAAGAACGTTACAAGTATCAAATTCATTTGATCGAACTACAATTTACTCACAATTCACAAATGTACACTGCACAGAAACTGACACAGTAAATAAATACTGGCTTATACTGAGCAGACTGAGCAGACAGTAATGTATTACTGCTAACCTATTGATTTCCCAACTTATTACTGCATGATTAACTTGGTACCGCAGAACATAACCACCAACTGGGTGCATTCACATAATGCAACAACAGCACTTGAAAATTACATGCCAAAGAACGACCCGGCTGCTTTTCCTTGGGACTAATCTCTATAGAGTCGAGAAAATGCCTCAAGCACGTGACAAAAAGGCATTATTTGACATTACACTCAAGATTTCCATCTTTTATGTTTTTTCTTAATGTCTTCATTACAAACAATTCAATCTAAAACGGAATTAAGGAACCAAAAACAATTCAATATAGGCCAAAATCTTAATTTCTGTGACTGACAAATTAACAATTTTCATAGGCCCATGTTACAGGCTATTGACTGGTTGCAGTAAATTGGCAATCCATTATGTGCCCACATGAACATATAATACAATATTCAAGAAAACTTGATTGTCCTCTGTTCTTCATAATACACACCACACAAAAGAACACATGTCTAAGCGACAGTTACCAAGATGAATCAAAACAGAGAATCTGACGGGTAAAAATTGATAATCAGAGCCAAAAACTTCAAAAACAAACAAATGGTGCATGAATTTAAAAAAGGTAATAAAAACTGAAATTTATTAACCAGAAACAATACCTCATCATGTTTGACTTTCTTCAGAATAGAAACATCAGAATCCAAACCCTCAATTCCAACTTCCATTCCCGCACTCAGTGATCGAATCGAATCAAAACCCTAGAACATGTAAACAGATAAAAAAAAGAGACAAAACAAGGCCAATATTATGCTAGATTCAATTCGATCATACAAACACATCCAATTTCTAGAGAGAGAAAGGAACAAGGCAAAAGATCACAGAATTGCAGTTACAGAAAGAAAGCAGAAGTGAAGTGTGTGCTTGGCTGTACGCGATGGTTCTTCTATTCGCGCGGTCTTGAGGCAAGACCCACTAACGTACGCGGGAAGTGAAGGATAGCAGATGATTGATTGATAGTCTGTATGCTCGCTTACCGTAACAAATAACACGTGTCAGCGTCTCAGCTCCGAAACACCTAAAGGCAATTCCAATTCCGATTAGGATATAACATATAGAATCAGAATCATTATTTCGTTATCTAATTCATTTAAAATAACGAGTAATAAAACAAGTAATGATTCATCTCATAAACTTATTATTTATATCTTCGAAAAAGTGCTCGTTAAAATAGACATGTCTGTGAAAATACAAACTATTTGTATCTGAACAGAAAAACCCTATAAAACTTGATTGTTCCTTAGAATTGGGTTTGGGCCTTTCCTGCATAGCTTAGGTGGAAGGAGAAGAACGCTTTCTTTCCCACCCATTAAAATAGCGGATAATAAAACGGGTAATGAATAAATGGTAAAATAAAATTGAATTTTAAACTATAAAAAAGATTGTTAAACCTCAAGTAAAACATAGGGGGTGTTTGGGATTGCTTATTTTAGGTGTTTTTTGACTTATTTCAGTCTGACATCGGTGATAAGCTAAATGTTAGTGTTTGGATGAGAGAAAAATAAAACTGCTTACTGATAAGTGTTAATTTATTAACCTTATTACATCATTTTCTTAACCATTTTCCTTTGTTTTATTTGCCCGTTAGTGTCTTAATTGAGTCTTTTTATGTCTTTTTAATATATTAGTAGTTATATAGTATATCTAATGTTAATTCCCTGTTTATGCAAGTTTTTGATGATTTTTGG